GTCGATATCATACGAACTTGTGTCTCCTACAGGAGCGTAAACCAGCCTTCTTGATGTGGGTACATATCTGTAAAGTAATCTGCAGTGCTTGCTCACTTCACAAAAAAATGTGTAACTGTGTCATCGCCATAATGTCTTTAAAAGCATGCAGATCACATTTTCATTGTTTTGACAAAATCAAAGGCATGGTTCATCCCATCTGCTCTCTGACCATCACTACACAGAGAAGCATGCTCAGCGATAACACTGCTTTTACTTTGCTGCGGCTCAGTTCATTAAGTCTGTTGTCCCTTAACCTGAAGGTTGGGGGTTCGATCCCCAGCTGCTGCAGCAACATGTCCCATGTGTGCTAGTTAGTTACTTCTGATGGTCACTTTACATAGCAACCTCTGCCATCAGGGTGTGAATGTGTAGGTGTGACCTGCGGTGTAACAGTGCTTTGAGTTGTCAGAATACTAGAAAAGCGCATTACAAGCTCAATTCCATTTACCATACCTGTGGGTCTTTGTAAATGATATCATAATACAAATATATATTACATATAACATAACAAAGAGGACGGTCCAGGCCTGCTCTTTTTGTAAAGTGCTTCGAGTCAATGTTAGTTATGAATTGGCGCTTTACAAAGATGACGATTGATTGATTGATATTCCTGTGGTCAGAGGTGTGTGACGTCAGGACCACCCTGATTTCAAATAATAAATATTAAACATGACAAGTTTTATGATCTGATATTCTGTTGTGCGGATAGATCCCTGAGGATAGCTGAGCACTCACTCTGTGGATTGGGATGTGAACTAAACAATTGGGGAACAAGCTGTCTATAGAAGGAATCACAACGTCTACAGCGAGTCAGTTTTTACTCACCTCCAGCTCGCTCTGCAACATGTACAGCCCATGTTTAAGACACCACCATGTCTCTATCCATAGTTTTGCCCCTTTCTTTGTGGATTTACAGTAAAAAAAAGTAGTCAAAAAATGTGGCAAATTCTTCCTGACCGTCATCCACCATGTTTGTTTACTATGAAGTTGCATTTGACCAAGACATGTTTTGCAAAATTTTAAGGTTTGAGTCGCAGTGGTTGTGCATGAATGTAATCTGTTACTATGTGATGAGCTGTCTTGGTTGTTAAGGCTTTGTTTGGACCTATGGAACTTCTTCATAGTTCTAGGAACTGTTGAACCCTCCCTAACCCTCTTTTTGATTGGTTCCCCACTGCAGGAATTATAAACCTTTTTTAGTTCTTAGAACCCGTTTAGAAGAACCTTTTAAGCTCATGGCGTACCATGGCGTTGTGAATGCCCCATGGTGTGTCGTTCTCAGAGAACACCTCATAATGAAGGTTCCTCATCAAAAAGTCCCCAGAACTGTTCAGTCTGAAAAACACAGTTGCTTTCCACACAGTGGGGAACTAAACTGTTAGAGCTATGATTATTTATCCTCGTGTGGGCTCTCTTTTAGAAATATTTTAGCGTGGGCCTGGCTTTACATGTGATGCTGCTTAACAAATGGTTTTTAATGCTCTGCAACCTCTGTCGGACTAGAGGCTAGAAAAACATTCCATCGTTTTCATTTCTATAAAATGTGATATTCCTTGTGTTTCTATAAGTGTAAGACCTGAGGTTTAAAACACGTGATTTGGCACAAAGCAAAGTGATGTAGTGGATATCACAGTAATACTGATTCTGAACCTCACTGTTACTAGCCAGTTGGACAACTGGTGGTTATTAGTCTACTGAGATGTTTGCCCCACCACTTGTCTAAGCTGCACTCAACTTTTTTTTTTTGGACTTGGCATCTTAGGTCATCTTCATTCCCGCCCTCCCCCCTTTTTTTATTGTTTTTTTTATCTTGCATGCCTGCCTGTGTCTGCACTCTGAATATTAAATCTAAATCTAAATGTATGTATGTTTCTATCTATATATCTATCTATCTATCTATCTATCTATCTATCTATCTATTTATGTATGTGTGTATTATTTATATATCTGTTTATCTATCTCACTATCTCTATCTCACTATCTCTATATCAGTATCTCTATCTCTGTATCTCTATGGTAAACCTCTTTATCTACATATATCTCTATATCACTATCTCTCTTTATCTTTATATCTCTCTCTATTTCTCTATATCACTATCTCTATACCTCTACATATCTGTATCTCTATCACTATTTCTACATCTCTCATTATCTCACTATAGCTTTCTATATCACTATCTCTATCTCTCGCTATCGCTACATTTCTAACTCTCTGTCTAGATCTCTATCCATCTTTATATCTTCATCTATGTCTCAAAATCTATATCTTTATTTCTATATCTCTATGTCTGTATCTATATATATCTACATTTTGTACATCAATATGTCACTATATCTTTATACCTTATCTATATATTTACATCTATATATCTCTACTTGTATGTCTATATCTCTATCTAAATCTGAAAACTCCCTTTAAAGTTATTCACTGAAAATCTCTCATATTCGCCATTCAAGCTGAACATTGTTTTTATTTTAGTAAAATGATATCTCTTAAGTGATTTTCTCTTTTGTTTTCCTTTCATCCCATTTAATTTAAAATTCTACTCTAAAAAAAAAAGTCAAAGCAACAATATGTAGAATTTCAGTTTGGTGCCGATCGATCGTCGCCCTAGTTTTTATGGTGTATCCGGCTCTGCCGCTGCCTATCGGCCCCTGTCGGCCTTTCTTGGCTGATTCGACATGTTGAATCGGCATCGGTGAGAGGGATTTCTCTGATTGGCTGTTCAGAGGTTTCAATTAAATCCAGCTCTGATCACGGGTTCAGGAAAGCCTCTTGAGCATGCCACTGTAGTATCCATGCTTTCACTCATTAATGCGGTTTCTCATTATTTGTCGCGTCCGCCTCGTCTTTTCTTTTTCAGCTAAAAGACCAAGGGCTGACAATGCCAGCGCCATTTTCAACTTTTTATCAGACATTATTCTGGATTAGTAGGCTACCTATAACACGAGTGGTGACCGACAGCAGTGTGAAAATGGTCTTCTTGTATCATAACAACGGACTACCGTCGCCTGCTGGCATGGAGAGTTATTGCCTCTCACACATGTGCAGAACGTACGTGGTGGTTGGCCGTCTGCTGTATTTTTTGTGGTGTGTTCAAGTGCAACTTTTTGGCCAAGACGTGAGGCGACGTCACAGGCGACCTTTGTCGCCTGTGGCGTTCTTTGGGGTCTGCTTGGTGTGTCAGGGCCTTTATAGTTACAAACCCTATGTCTTATAAAGTTATACAGCTAACTTGAAGATCGAAAAGGAAAGACAACTTCATGGTCCGAGATGGATTTATTTTTACATTTGTTTGCAAACCTGAGACATAAAGTGGGTTAGATGACTTTCTGCATGCGGTAAAGCTGCTAAACATGAAACAATAATAACTATACAGCCTAACGTTATGTCTCAATCTGTTATGAATAATACTTGCAGGAATGTATTCGACTGTCAGGTTGTTGCTTTCCAATTAGCTAGCTCAGAAAAAAGAGAGTGACCGAGCAAGAAGCAGAGTGTACAACTCTGCATATATTATTCAGAACAGACTGATATGTAACGTCAGGCTCTACCGGTATCAGTGTCATTGTTGTCTCAATTGTACAGTTTTGCCGAGTGCAGTGAGTCATCTTACTCAAGTTATGTCTCAGGTTTGCACCATCTTCAAGTTTAAAGTTTTATACTTTTGGAACCTTACAAACCTATCCCAACTTTTATAATAAATTCCCCTTTTCAGTGTAACCATTTAGCCACAGCCAAAACATGTTGCTTTAAGACTTGCTTTGGCCTCACTCCCCCACTGCAACCACACACATCCTGGGTCCTCTCCAACTTCCTGTCTTTGCTCCTGCAGTTCGACGTATGGCCCCCCGTTTCTCCATCCCCCCTACCGATCACGAGGTAATGCCAGGCGGGAGTGTCAACCTGACCTGTGTTGCAGTTGGTGCTCCTATGCCGCACGTGAAGTGGACAAGCAGCGAGGTGGAGCTGACTCAGGAGGAATTGATACCCATTGGTCGTAATGTCCTGGAGCTTACCAACATACGGCAGTCTGCCAACTACACCTGTGTGGCCATGTCCTCCCTAGGTATCATAGAGACCACAGCCCAGATCAGTGTCAAAGGTAAGAAAAACTTGGAAATATAAAAAAGGTGTATCACAGTGTATTCATGGCTCCATCTTTGTTTTCCGAAATGAAACCAATTATGAGAGAAAGAATAAAGGATAAAAAAGTATTTAGGCTAAATTTAGTATTTTGGTTAAACTGCCATAACGACTGGCGCAATGTTACCACACATGGTACAGGCATGTGGACGTTAACCTGCAAGAAGAACCGAAGGCTGGCTGTGCTAGCTCTGCTAGCTCTGCCAATGTTAGCCACACCGGCAAAACGAATGGCACAATTTACTTGCAGATCATTTTAAAGAAATTGTGCTCAATTTGGATGGTGTCTAAGTGTTTTCTCATCTTCAGTCTTGAATTTAAATTTAACCAAAAGCAAAATGAGTACCTTGAGCATCCCTAGTATTATAAAAGTTGTGCTCAGTGTGCTGCCTTTGCAGTGATCAGAGGAGGAAAGAAATAAGCTCCTGAATGATATTTTACTGAAGATAGACAGACCTTCATGTTAGGAGGATAAAAAAGGAGACTGGTTTTCTTGACTCTTCTCTCTGTCTCTGCTTTTTAACAGCTTTGCCCAATCAGCCCACCTCCCTCATTGTGACAGAAACCACAGCTACTAGTGTCACCTTGACCTGGGACTCCGGCAACCCAGAATCAGTCTCCTACTATGTGATTCAGTACCGAGCCAAATTGTCTGACAATGGCTTCCAGGAAGTAGATGGAGTAGCAACAACTCGATACAGCATTGGAGGCCTCAGTCCCTTCTCTGAATATGAGTTTCTTGTTATGGCGGTCAACAATGTCGGTCGAGGGCCTCCCAGCAGTATTGTTAACACCCGAACAAGCGAGCAAGCACCCTCATCAGCTCCTCTTCATGTCAAAGCACGAATGCTAAGCTCCAGCACAATGCTGGTCCAGTGGGATCCTCCAGAGGAGCCCAATGGCCAAATCAGTGGTTACAGGGTCTTTTATAGCTCAGAGCATGACGCCTCTTACGGCACCTGGCTGACACAGGACACAGATGACAGCCAGCTCACCATCATCACAGACCTCACTACAGATATCACCTACAGTTTGAGGGTGCTGGGCTTCACCTCTATGGGAAACGGGCCTCTCTCTGATGTTCTGCAAATTAAGGCCCAGCAGGGAGGTGAGGAAATCCTGTGAAGCAGTATTGGATGCTTTCTTTTTCAACCGGATGTGTGCAAAGACACAGTTGGAATAATTATTCTGACAAAAAATAAAAATGTCTGAATGTTATTAGGGTCAGAGGAGCTTTTCCAATGTTAAATTAAGCTGTGTCACAAATATTGCAGGGGTGGGGTTTCCAGGGCTGGGGGTGAGGCTTGAACTATTTGGAGTTCACTGGCTGATGGTCTTTGTATGTGGTGAGGCAAACTGGCAGAAGGAGAAGGTCCTGGAGACAAGACAACAGGTGTAAGACACAGAGGCAGGCAGGCAACAAAAAACAAAGTTTAAGTTTAAGTGGATATCAAAAAGAAAATGTGAATCTCTAACCAGGTCCAAACACCTTAATGCAATGTTTTGTTAAAATCTGGAATCGTTCATCCAGCTATGATCCTTAGCACAACATAAATGTGTATGGGGCTTACACTGCATGATAAAGTTTTTGTCTTTCTTGCACTTGAAGCCCAGCTGACCTCTTAAATGTGGCCAGGGCTTCACTTGACTTTTTTCAAGTTCATCCTCAACATTACTCGGCTTTAAGATAGGTTCAAGTTTTGGTCTGACTCAACCATCTCCATCTCCTATTTGAGTGTGTACAGACGTTCTCTTCCTCCTCACAATTTATCTTTGTTCCTGACTGTCACATGTTCCTGATTGGGTGATTCACAGCATGTGGAGACTTAGTTATGTGTTATGTCTGACTTGAAAACTAGTATAAACTATGTATTTTGCCTAAAACATTGCTTCTTTATGTCCTACCTCCCTGCTTCCTATTATCTGTATTCTATCCTGTCTCTGTTAATGTTTTTATCCTTTATCCTCATCTCATTCTGTATGCCTCCAGTTCCAGCTATACTGTCTGGTTTTGAAGCTGAAGCTGAGCTAGACTCACGTATAATGCTCTCATGGCTTTGGCCAGTCCATGACCCTGTAATTAGCATTGAACTGATCTACTGGGAGGCCAACAATCCCACAGCAAAGGTAAGGAACGCCCTATCACACTACTCAACTGGATAGATTTTAGTCTTTCAATAGGTCCAAAAACTTTCTCGTGCTAAAAATATGTTTACTGAAATATCTTATATTTGTCGCCTGTTCAGTGTCTAGGACATAAAGAATGTATATATAATCTTTTTAAATTACAGCTGAATTATTTGTTTTCATGCACTTCATTCAGTGAACTATTATTTGTATACCTAACCCCTTATTTGTTAGAAACTGACAGTTTCAGGCTTTATTTAATATTATGAAAATGGAGGTAGTTATGCAAACATCACATAGGTGCAGGGCAGTGCAAAATCAGCATGCTGAGGAGGAAGAACATAGGCCTGCACACTTACTCAAAAAGTCGAAACATTGTGATGAATTTAAACTTTTGTGGCATTTGAGTAAGTGTGCGGGCCTATCTTCTTCCTCAGTCTGCTAACTGACTTCCTGGATGAAAGTATATCCCCTAGCACTCTGAAGACTGCTATTGTAACTCCTGTATATGAATCAGGTGAAAGATAGGAAGTGAGCAACTACCATCCCATCAGTATATTGCCTGCCATTTCAAAAGCTATTGAAAAGGTTGTTGCTGAACAGCTGGTAGCTCAACTTAATAATGAAAATCTACTGCACCCTATGCAGTTTGGGTTTCGAGTAAACTTTCGTTACAGTTAATCATTCAGTACTCATCTCCAAATTGTCTAAATTTAAACTCGCTGCTAACGTTGTTAACTGGATTCAGTCTTACCTACTTGGTCGCTCCCAGTGCGTACAGATAAATTATAAAACATCATCACGAAAAACTTGCGTAATGGGAGTGCCACAAGGTTCCACCTTGGGACCGCTGTTGTTTAGCACATACATCAATGATCTCCCATCTGTGTGATGATGTGGGGACCTTGATGTATGCAGATGACACGGTCCTATATGCATGTGGGAAAGACCCTGAACAAATAGCTGCCAAACTGTCATTAGCAATAGAAAAAATTATAAAATGGTTACGCTATTCTTTTCCAAGATGGCGCTCCCCTGTGGGCGACATAGCGTAACTCTCCGAGTCAAGTTTTACGTAGTTTTCATGTTACTGTTTTCTTTTCTTTCGTTTAATGTGTATAAGCTGTATCAGTTTATATATCTAATACAGCTTGGTGAGATGAGTCACAAAGGACATTTTAATGCCAAACTGCTCGACTCCTTCTTGGAGCTACACCTTCATGCCGGAACAACACAGGGCCAGGCCAGTTTGCCCCTGAGACCGACACGGAGGCGAGGCAGGCGAGGCAGGCGGGGAGGCGCTGAGCGAAGACTCTCTCTCCTTGTTAGCAAGGGTAGGCTAACCCTTCTGGTTATACTTTTTGCCAACATCCAGTCTCTTGGAGATAAAGTGGACGACCTTCTCAGTAGGATGGCTACACAGAGGTACATTCAGGTCTGCTCTGTACTGTGTTTATGTGAAACGTGGCTCGGAGACAGGCCTCCCGATGAAGCCATAACACCGGCAGGCTACGCGCTCTTCAGAGCCGACCGCAAGGCTGCAGACTGTGGCAAGACCCAAGGGGGGACGGACAGCGATTCTTGTCAAAAAGTCCTGGAGCACCAACAACACGGTAATATCGCAGTTATGTACTGAAGACGTGGAGTTTATTACCGTAAAGTGCAGACCATTTTACCTACCTAGAGAACTGCAGTGCATTATACTGAGTACAGTGTATATCCCCCCTCTGCTAACAACATACTCAAAGAACTGCACGGCATGATCTCTATAGGGGATGTCTATATGAGAACTCATACCCAGATGCTGCTTTCATTATTTCAGGGGATTTTAATCACTGTAACCTCTGGAAAAGTATCCTCAAACTCCATCAGTTCATTAACTTCCCCACCAGGGGTAACAACACATTGGATCATTTCTACAATAACATCAAAATTGCTTATGCTGCTGTCCCCAAACCTCACTTTGGAAAGTCTGACCACCTAGCAGTCTTGCTGAAGCCTACTTACGCCACAAAGCTGAAAACAAACCCAGTCACAGTCAGAACTGTGACGATGTGGACTGACAGTGTACTGGCAGAACTGCAGGGCTGCTTAGAGGCCACAGACATGAATATTTTTAAGGAAGCCACAACAAACATTGATGAATACACGGACACTGTAAGCAGCTATATAGACTGGTGCACCTCTGTTTGTATTCCCTCCCGGACCATTCGTGTGTTTCCTAATCAAAAGCCCTGGTTCAATGCAGACATACGTATGAAGATCAGGAGCCGGTGTGCAGCTTTCAAGTCAAGGGATACCGTGGAATACAAGCAGGCTCGGTACGAGCTACAAAAGTCCATCAGAGCTAGAAAAAGAACATACTCCCAAAAACTTGAAAGCTTCTACAACAACACTAGGAGTATGTGGCAGGGAATACAGTCCATCTCCAACTACAGAAGTAACACAAACAGAGTCAAAGTTTGTGACTCCATCCTACCAGACACACTGAACAGTTTCTATGGCAGATTTGACAAACAGAACAGCGACACCTCTACAAAGTCCCCCCATAACCCAGAGGAGACCGCACTACAAGTAACACACACACAGGTCCTTTGGGCTCTGAAGAAGGTGAACCCCCACAAGGCTGCAGGCCCTGATGGGGTGGCACCAAGAGTCCTAAAAGCCTGTGCTGAACAATTGGCAGAGGTGTACACAGACATCTTCAACACCTCTCTCATGCAGGAAACCGTCCCACGCACCTTTAAATCATCTGTCATAGTTCCCGTCCCTAAGAAACCACACACAACCACAATTAATTACTTCAGGCCAGTGGCACTCACGCCGGTGGCCATGAGGTGTCTGGAGAAGCTGGTTCTACATTCCATCAACTCTGTAGTTCCAGACACCGTAGACCCCCTACAGTTTGCTTACCGCACCAACAGATCAGTGGACGACGTGGTGGCCCTGGCACTCCACTCCACTACAACTTATTTATTTTTTGTTTTTACTTTTCTACAATTTTTTTTTCTTTATATTGCTATCCTATTTTATATATACTTTAACTTTTTTGTAGAGCTGACTCAGGGAGAAACGCACAAACAATTCCAATGTACCTGTACTGTCCTGTACCTGTGCAAATGGCAATAAACATATTTTCTATTCTATTCTATTCATGTCTGACCCTTGATACTGACAAAACTGTGGTCATGTATTTTGTGAATAAACACAAATATATGGTTTTTCCAAATATTAATGTAGGTGGGCAAATGATAAAAAATGACAATGAGTTTAATAGTGTTACACTACACACAACACTACTAGCTAAATCTGGTACAAAGCATCTCTTTTCTTGTTTTTTTGTACACTGTCCCTGATTCAAATAAACTAAACTATATTTCATATTGTACCATTTTTTTCAATTTAATTTATACACTGTTGTCTGCTTGCAGAGTCTAAGAGTCTTTGCAGGAATCATTAGTTTCATCGTATCAGAAATGTTTAACTTTCTGGATGATTTTCTTCAGTATGAATTTTTCCTTCATTATCTGCTGCCTTACAACAAACAGGTTCTTGTTATGGAACTAGAACTTCCACTGCATCAGTCCAGTTTGAGGAATGCTGAGATTATGACGATAGATACTTTCAGAATCATATTTAAGAGTGTTTTCCTTTTGGTGTTTGATCTCATGGTTTCTGTTTTTGTACAGCATTCGATTAATTTCGACCCAACAGGCTCCTACGCAGTTGATGGTCTCAAGCCAGATACACTATACGTGTTCACCCTTGCAGCAAAATCTGACATGGGTTTAGGACTCTTCACTCATCCTATTGAGGCCAGGACTGCCCAGACCTGTAAGTACTGCAGCCCTCTTCTATCACTTTGTTTCAGGACATTAGGTTAGAAAAATAGAATTCCATTTCAATTAAGCATTTTATTTATTTTATCATAATGAATTTAAAAACTCATCTAGCCCAGTGAAGCAAATTAAATATTTGTATTTATTTGTTTGCATCCTCCCATCATATCCAGTCTTATAGCAAGTATCCGGATTACTAAAAATGTGTCAGGTCTCCAGGATAGTATTGTTACTTCTGTTATTCTCATGTTTTATGTCTTGTGTTTCATCTTTGCTTTGATACTTTCCCTGTGTCTCGTTTCAGATCCTTTGCTTCCTGCCCTCCCACCTGTATCTCCCACGTCTGTGATTATCTGATGTGTCTCACCATGATGTGTCTCACCATGTGTCTAGTTGTCATCACTACCCTTGAGTTTCCCTCCTTCTGTGTCAGAAATTCCATTTTTTTTAACCTGCCTTTTGCCTATGGTTTTGGATACCTCTGCCTATGTAATGGATTCCCATGTACCGACCCTTTTCTGATTAAACAGACTTGTATCTCCTTTATATGTTCTTGGAGTCGTGCATTTGGGTTCTGTGTTTTATGGTTTAGTGTGATAAAATTACCAATAGTCTACTACGTAAAATCAACTTTTTTGACCTTCCTCTCCTCCCTACTGTTTTCTCACACTGGCTCAACCTGGTAGGAAAAACTCTGGGTAGAGTCGGAGTAACAAGGAGTTTCCAGGAGTTTTTTGCAAGTTTGAAAGCCTATTATACTATTTTTACATTAGCAGAAATCTCCAGGAGGAGCTGTATACGTGAAAGAAAACAGCGGAATTTTTCGTTTGGACTTCACCCGGAGTTTCTCCTGCCAGACCCCTAGTATTTTTTCTGCAGCAAGTCAGAGTGAGCTGATGTGAGAATGCAGCAGGATATTCTTCGGAGAATTCACCTCGAGCCAATAGGAGGGGGAATTACATTTATATGCTGGGGTGGCTATGGCTCAGTTGGTAGAGTCGTCGTCTCTCAACTGGAAGGTCGAGGGTTCATGTGTAGTTGTGACATGCGGTATAAAAGCTTTGAGTAGTCAGAAGACTAGAAAAGCGCTATATGAGTCCATTTACCATACTGTGACTGCTCCTGCTGCTTCGTCTGCGGTTGTATGAATGTGTCTGAATGGGATTAGTTACTTCTGATGGTCTCACTCCATAGCAACCACTTCCTGTGTGAATGGGTGCAAATGTGTTGATGGGACATGCAGTGCAAAATCGCTTATATATACAGTAGTCAGAAACTAGAAAAGCTCAAGTCCAAAAAAGGAAAACAAGCTCAACGCTCCCTTACTATATTTTCAGTTGAAGTTGTGTGCTGTGTTATGCTGCAGTGCCTGGAGCTCCACCCAGGAAGTTGGAAGTGGACATCCTCAACTCCACTGCCATCAAGGTGACCTGGAAGCCTCCCCTGTCTGTGAAGCAGCATGCCCAGACCAGAGGCTACCAGGTAGTCTATTCCAGGCTGGAGAATGGGGAGCCCCATGGTCAGCCGGTCATCGTAGATGTTTCCCTCTCCGAAGCCGAGGTACCGTCTGTCTTCCAATTTAGCATAAGGATGTTAAAAAGGTGATTTTTGTGTAAGTAACATGGTGAAAATAAACTGTTTGGTTATGACTGCGTAAAATCTCTGAATCAGTTATAAAAATGTCAACTTGCATTACTATTGGTAAGTGGGATTTATTTTTATGAAAAAAAACAATAAAAAACAATAATTTAACAAATGAAATGAGAGGAACAAAATTGAATTAAGTAAATTAATGTCAACAAATAATTTGAAAATCTGTACAGAAAAGTTGACCCTTAACTTTTTGAATCATTTATGAATTAAGTAAATCTCTGTTAATCGTATCATTACTATTTAATTAGGTTGTTTCAGATTGCTCACATTTTTAAATAGATACAAATAAACATCATTAACTAGAGATTTATCTTGTTTAAGTATTTATTTATTGTGCCCACTTCTGGTGTTTAAGTAATCTACAGCACAGATAAATGGTAGGTGAAGTTGTTCACATAGTCAGATCTCCTCTTTCAGATCTCCTCTTTTTGTGACACTGATTGCATCCTCTCATAGTTGTCCCATGACTGAATTTTGGCGTAATGGGGGGACATTTGAGCCCCCCTCTGTCCCTCGTGCAGCGCTGTGTGTGTGTGGAGCTCCGGCTGTGATGTGCTTCTGCAATGCCAAAATGCAATGTGAATTCACAGACTAGAACAAGAATATTACACCATCCAGAAATGTTCAAAGAAGTAATGACTGCTGAGTTACTGCCCTTTGCCGAAACATTGTCTGAAAAACGACTTTTGTCTCTCTTTTTCTCTCTTTCCCTTCATTCCTCTCTTTTGTTCTGTTTCTACTGACTCCACAGAAGGCCGTTATAACAGGTTTGCTCCCAGAGACTACGTACAGAGTGACTGTTTCTGCACACACCACCAAGGGTAATGGGGCTCAGAGCAAAGCCAAGGTTGTCACCACCACCGGAGCAGGTGTGTGCTACATAAACATTTATGAGTATCTTTCTGTTAAGTAACACATCTATTTAGTGTTTTGACAACAAAGACTCACATTTACAACAACCCCCCACCTCCCCATTGTTCCCTATCCCTCTTCCTGCATCTTATCCCATCTCCCCCATCCCTTTTTCAAGCCCGGCGCAGTCTAGGCCTGTGAAGGCTGTTTCGTCATGAGCCGGGGATCCGGCCTGAAGATTTCTGCCTTTTGATAAGGCAGTTTTTTTTTACCACTGTAACTTTTGCTGCTTTGCTAAAGTGCTCATGATGGATTAAGCCGGGTCTTTGCAATATAGGATTAAGTAAGGTCTTTTTACCTGCTTTTTGTAAAGCCCCTCAAGATAACACTCGTTATGAGTTGACGCTATACAAATGAAGATTGATTGAAATTGATTGATTGATTGATTGATTAAGTGCTAAGCTGGGAAAAGTACATTTTGAAAGATGGGATTGCATTCTGTCTCTTCAATTTAGAGATGAATTCAATTGAAATTCTCCGGGGTTCTGCTGCTACTGACTTCCATGACTAAATATTAGAGCTGTCATTTTTTTATTTGCAGTTCGAACATTCATTCGAACCTGGAGAAGAAAGTTCACATTCGTACTGTAACGAGCGTTTTAATTCAAAACATTCAGTCAGCGCACCAGGCTGTCAATGGAGTTTGATCAAGCAAGCGGACACTCGATGAACTGCAGGATTTTACACTTCCGCATAGGCTTCATTTTTTAAGACCGGAGGTTGCCGCTTAGTTTGAATGTTACGTGTATGATGTGTATGACGTGTATGACGCTCATGTCCAAGACTGCAATGAGCTTTTTGCTGATGTTACACCCCTCACCAAGATAGTGATGTGGATTCCCTTGTTGTTGATATGTTTGATGATGAAGAAATTCGCTGTTGACACTGACTTGCTTACATAATGATCATTTTATTGACAAACAAGTTACAGCATCGCCAGGTCTGTATTAGGTCAGAGCTGACCTAATTTCCAGATATGTCAGACACTTCAATAGCATTGCTTGTCTTTATATTTAATAATCATAAATAAATTATTCTATCAGACATTAGTGCCTTTCAAAGAAATGACTCTGAGATGATCACGACTCAGAGTGTGGTTTCTTGACATTGATTTGAAGATACAGATCATGTTCAACTTTGACCTTCCATACTTGCCCTATAGTTGTTTACACACATTTAACATGTGTATTGGGAGATTTTTCAGTATTAAGTTGGTCAGGCAAAACAACCTAACAAAAGTCAAATTCAGTGGTCAGCAAATCAAGGGGGTGTGCTCTGACTCCTGTGAAGAGGATGCTACAAATTGGCCCATTTAGAGATGTTGTGTGTATTTCCTGCAAAAAAAAACAAATTAAAACTGTTGCTGGGGGTTCCAGCGATTGTAAAAATTGTATGAAGAATAATTTTCTCATGTTCATTGGATAAAAAAAGGGGAGTTCATCCTTGCCAACATGATCTGTATCATTACTTTTATAGGACAACAATGTGGTTTTAGAGTTTAATTAATTAAGGTTAAACCTCTTTTAAAGTAATCAAGTAATTGGGATATTTGAGGATATTTCCTGTCTTCCAGTGCCTGGCAAGCCCACCATGATGATCAGCACCACCATAGGGAACACTGCCCTGATTCAGTGGCAGCCGCCAAAGGAGACTGTAGGGGAACATCTTGGATACCGTCTGCAGTACAAGAGATCAGAAGAGGAAACATTCAGTTCCAAAGAATTTAAACCTACAGATGATCATTTCACATACTCTGGCCTCTACAAGGGCGCCACCTATATCTTCAAGCTGTGCGCCAAAAACCGAGCAGGCTGTGGTGAGGAGTATGTGAAAGAAATCAGCACCCCTGAGGACATTCCCAGCAGCTATCCTCGTAATCTGAGTGTGGTTGGACTTACTGCCACCTCCACCAAGCTAGCATGGAACCCTCCTCCTTTGGCTGAGAGGAATGGAAAGATTGTCAAGTATGTGGTTGTGTATCGTGATATTAATAGCCAGCAAAATCACACCAACAGCACCACAGAAACAGAAATGACTATCCAAGAACTGCAGCCTGACACAACCTATGACATCAGAGTCGGGGCTTTTACCAGCAAAGGGGGAGGAGCCATCAGCCCCAGCATTCAGAGCAGAACCATGTCAACTTCCATGCCAGGTAAGCCTCAGTTTATATATTAGCAACGCATTGGGTTTGTTACTATAGCTTACACACTCTGTTAGGTAAAAATGACCTGCAAGAAAACGTACATTTTGACAGGGGAAAATTGCCTGTATATATTTGCAACTGGTGCAAAGTTCAAGGTACAGAAAAAATATCCACACCTTAAATCAAATGCAGCAAAAGCACAAAACAGATGCATTAGCAGAAAATGCACTGCAAATAGATAGGCCTATGCAATGCAGAGTCAAAGACATACAAAACCCAAAAACTAATGCAAAAGAAAAAGAAGTGCAAATGAATTCCTTACATCATAACTTGTGCAGGACTTCAGATGAGGGCATAAAAAGGCTGTAAGGTGCTTAAACTCTCATTAGTAATTGTCTGTCCAATCACAATGACTTACTCCTTAGATATTTTGATCAATAATGTGTGGATTTGAGTAATTTATTTTGGTAAAAACATTACAGATGATGCTAAAAACATGGGGTGTCAAAATAATACAGACAGTGTTGTGCCCTCGCTTCATTATCATCTTTTATGATAACATCGTCCACGTGTTTCAGCTTGTGGCCTTCATCAGGATCATCGCGACACGTACATGACCCTAATGAGGATCACAAGCCGAAACGCGTCGGTCTAATAAAATGAATAAAGTTGATCTTCATATTTAAAGTGTTGCTGGAGCTTTTTGAACTTTTTAAGCCTTTCACTCTTCATGCATTTTGGTAGTTGGTGAAGTTGTGCCAGAAAATCCTACTCTGATTCCATAATGCTTACGTGCACCGAGATTTAAAGTTCTACCCATCTCAATCATATCCACAATTAAATTACCTGCCTAATGCTCATCCAGATCTTCCTTCAGTTTTCACCCAGAACTTTGGTGTGAAGGCTGTGACGAAAACCTCGGTCCTGCTGACCTGGGAAGTGCCCGAAACCTACCAATCTCAAGTTCCTCTCAAGGTAAGATCAGCACCAATACAAATAGCACTGTTAGGCCCTGTGTACATGTAGCGTTTTTTCCGGGCAGAAAAGTGCTGGCTGTGCACTGAGAAGAAAAGTGCTGCTCGTCCGTCCTGTCTCCATTACAACAGTCTGTTGACGACAGCTGCTGTAGGCTATGACCCACACAGCTCCGTGACTTTTACTGCATGTTTCATATTTTAGATTGTTTATTACCCGATAAGACACGGAGCAGAGAGGATTTGGGTACAAGACACGATCCGTAGCAGGCAAAAATACGAGGAATATCATACATTTGAAAACATTGTGATGTCAACATCGCCTTTCTGAAAAGTTGAAAGACTTGCACTTGGAGTGGCCGTACAAAGAGGGCAGAGTGCTTCTCTACTCATTGACAACAATTGAAAAAAGTGTGCTTGTTGTGTCACTGTTTTCTTTTGTACATAGCTTCTCAGTATCTTTAATCCTTTATTGATCAATTAGTGTGCCAATGTCCACAAAAGTTTTATTCTAAATGACTACTCAGGATCAGTACATGACTACCCAGTACTCAAACGTCTATGGATTGCTTTCAGAGGTTCGTCTGTATGACTGACATCACTCACCAAGCCTAAAGCAAATACCTTTGGTATTTCTTCCGCAGAAGAAAACTCACAGGCTCAGCTTAATTTGATAGGGATACACATTCAGGTGATTCCTAAACAATAACCAACCCTTACTAAGCTAACCATCACTAGTACAGTCTATTGACAACAGATAAAAGTTGACCAGGTGGGGAAGTTGACTCATCTAGGCAAGTGTTTATGTCATTTGATAACACTGTCAGGTCACCTTTATCATTTTAATTGACACATTTTAATTTAATACAGACACATGGAAGGAGTTCTTACTATTATTTATATAGTGGCCAAAATGTGCTAAAGCTAGGACAGGACCAGAACATGGGCTGAACTTCAAAACAAGAGCATGAAAGGTTTATATTTGGGAACAATTTTGCCAGCTTTTCCTAAGAAAAATGTTCTCTCAAAACACTTCTGAGCTGTAGTTGAGCTTTAAAGAATGGTGAGTGCCTTTTTTAGTTTTGGGGAATTTGCTGGTCTTTAGTGACATGTTGAGATGAGTTACTGGTGTCATCAGTACTGAGTTATATTTACCAATGCAACTAGCTTCCACATTTAAGAGTCTTTTGCCTTATTGCCTAACTACTTACTTGCTTTGGTAATTCTTTTGGAATTTGATGATATAACCATCACGTTATTAGTTTAGTCAGAAAAAAAAGTACTTCTAAATTCATGTGCTATTTTGGCCTCATCTGTCATAACTGCACCATTAATGTTACTTATTACTATAAGTTCTTTGTAACTCTAGAACTAGTTGTTTCAACAATCATTAGGCATTTTGGATTATGGTGAGACTGGATCTAAATGTTGGATGTCTAGCATTCTCCTGCTGTCAGTGGATTAAATGTAGCTCAGAGGTCTGCCAATGGTTTCGTTGCACACTTCCCTCATTGATGACTTTTCTAGAAACACACTGTAGTTAGTCAAATGGGCAAAGTAAATGTAAATGTCATAGATAACAGACGCAGTAGATGATGTGTATTCATTGAACTATTGACCTTTTTAAGGCGGTCGTCACAATGATGTCAAGGTATTAGCTGAAGGCAAAACGAAGCTAAACTAAAGGGAAACATGAATCAACACCAGAGGGTAGTAGGCGACAGGAGTCTTAAAATCATGTCTTGTTGTGTTGTTGGGTGCCAGAATAGAAGGAGTACTAACAGTAATGTCTAGAAACTGAAATTCTACCGTTTGGTAGCTGCACTGCCCATCAACAAAATGTAGCATGTTGCTAACCTCAAGACACAGCTAACATAACAAGAGTGGTTAATGGTTGTTCCAACATTTTCCTGTTTCATTACATGCAAACCAGAAAAGTCATATCAGTAATGGAGTGAGGTTTACAACCTATGCTGTAGATTCACTACATACCAGCCATGCAAGCACAGTTCATCGTCATGATGTAGTTACAGTGTTCTTTATTGACCCAAACCCTGTACAAGGCTGTCTTCTGTCCTCGCCGCTGGCTGGGCAGAACTTCGACCGTACGACAAAAACCCAGTCGTGGTATTTAAAGTCCTGTACATGGCTGTTCACAACATAGTTATAGACCTAAGGACTTGGTCTCTACACCCTCAGTTTGTGTTTACTTAACACATTCGGTTTTACAGCAGTCCTGTCAAATCATCCATTCACTGAGAGAAAGCCTCCAGGTCTGCCAGTTTGCTCCCGTTCTTCCATTATTCCAGTAACATTCTCAGTCCCAGAGAGTCACTTTATATATTCAAAAAGACTTGTTGCAAACAAATAAAGAGCTTGCTAACAATATGCATCTCGACAGACTGAGATTCCACAACGAAGACAGGGGAAGTGTGTTCATAAGATTTGGGACCCTTTGCTGAATTTTCTTCATGGCAAAGATTCATATTCTGTGTCTTAACTGCACCATCCTGTTGCATGTATGTGCCTTTGTTTTTTCACAGTTTTTTTTTCTTAATAGGAACTGCTTAAGATACGGTCTTAATGTGATCATGGCTGCTATTGCAATAGATGTGCTCTTTTTCTGTTCTTTTAGTTTATTTTCCTTTTGTGAGGGGGGTGGGGGGTAGGTTTTTATTTTTATTTCTGCTGTTTTTTGTTTAGTCTGTATTTTCTATGTTTATAAAAGCAATAAATATATATATATATATATATATAAAAGAGCTTGCTAGCTAGCCATGGCTATCCTATCCAGTTTTGCCTCCTGCTAAGCCCCGCTACCAAAAAGGTCACATTGTTTGCTGACACTAAAAAGGTCAGCATTGCAAGTAAGACGTCTCATCCTTCCTCCAGATCCTATACAACCAGCAGAGCGTGGAGGTCCAAGGCAACGTGAAGAAGAAGTTGATCACTCAGCTACAGCCTTCAACAGATTATTCCTTTGTGCTAATGGGCCGAGGGACCAGTGCTGGTGGCCTCCAGCAGCAAGTTTCCATCAGAACAGCTCCAGACCTGCTGAAGGTGAAACCAGTTCAACACCAACAGGATGTTGAGGAGGCTGGTAGAGTGACCATCAGCCTGCCCAGGTCACCTGCTGGAGCTCCTGTCAGGTCTGTTGGCTTTTCTTTTTGCTTTCTGCAGCACCTCCGTTATTTCACAACAACTAAACTTTTTCTCTCAGCTTTGTGGGGGTGGGCATTTACCTATGCTAATTACAGTAGGGGCAAGGGCCAAGAATAGTGAAGTTTTAACATTAAATCCCTGAGTATTGAGTGTGTATGTATGCACAGCATAGTAGGCATACTAAAGGTGTGTCTCTGTATTTGATACAGATGGTACTACATAGTGGTGGTCCCTGTTACCCAGGCATCATTGGAAAAATGGGAAAACCCTGAAGACATGGACATACAGGAGGTGAGTGGGCACGAGGGGTAATTGCTATACTGTGGGGGAAAAGGCTTTTCAAACAGTCACTAACTTGGAACCAATACCATTTTAAGCCACAGACTTGTTATTTATTTCAAGCCTGGGTAAGGGTTTGGTTTATGAAAAAATACACAGGTAGGTGCGCTTCCTGGACATAAAAGAGTATTAGTTTGACGTGCTCTTTGTTTTCTGTGACTTTGAAGTCTTAAGCCGTTTTCACATATACACTCTTGAAAATATCTAGATAATTACAGGAGGACCGCTCCGGAGACTCTCCTGACCTGCCTGTTCACACATGCTCCTCACAGCGGGAGACTATCCCTGTCAGACAGGAGGGGCGACCTATTGGCTCGAGGTGAATTCTCCGGAGAATATCTTGCTGTGTATCAGCTCACTCGGACTTGCTGCGGAAAAAATACTAGGGGTCTGGCAGGAGAAACGCCGGATGAAGTCCGAGTCAAAAATGTGTCTGTTTGCGTTCACACATACAGCTTGTCCTGGGAATATCCAGATTTTTTCAGGAGTTCTCTGCAAGTGTGAAAGCCTAGTTAGAGAACTACAAGGCACTCTCTTTTGACACAATTAGGCTGCGTTCACACTGCAAGCCTCATTGCATCCGACTTTTTGCTCAGATCAGATTTTTTGTTTGGCTGTTCACATTACTTTTTAAATGTGGCCTGTTTCAGACTCTCATGTGAACTAGTCATGGTCCTGACCTGATCCACATGCGCAAAAGAACAAGAATAAAGACGTTGCATGACAGTTTGAGTAGTCAGAAGACTTTCTGTTCATAGTCCTGGGTTAAGCTTTTAGTCTTTCCTGTTTTATTTTCTCTTTCCCTTTTCTTAGTTATGTTGTTTGTGTTTCATTGTCACACAACGTCATGTAAGGCCGGTTCCCAAGTGTCCTGTTGTCTTCTCTCCTGCAGCTCTTGCAGGCTGGCCCTGACAGCAGTTTGCAGAGAAAGCGGAGACAGAGCCAGGATTTCCCTCAGCCCTATATCACTGCCAAGCTGAAAGATCTGCCCGAACTATTTACTCTGGGTGATGAGAAGACGTACAACAGCTACTACAACAAACCCCTTACTGGCCAGCAGCAGTATCGCTGCTTTGTTCTGGCGGACTTGACTGAACACGAGTCAGTGAGTAATTTTTATTTAACTTTAAGGATATGAACATGTGTAGCATCTTTAATGTTAGAACTTTACTTGTTAGTCTTCCCAATTTTCAGAGCCAATCTTGTGTATTAACCCCAGCACCCCCTGAGTGCCCAGACCTGGACTATTTATACCTACGTTTGTTTTGGTCTTACATTTTCTTCAACTTTAAAAAAAAAATCAGTCAGTGTTATTTGTTTTTACATGCAGTCATCTACAAAACACTAAAAGTCAAATGTAATTATGTCACCTACCTCCTCTTTGTGGAATCATCTCATTTTCAGTGAGTTTGTTGGATGTTTATGAGCCAGCTGGGTCACAAAGCAGAGTTGTTATATTAAGAGAAGTCTCATGTCCTGATGAACTGTTAAGCTGTGATACTGTGAAATGACTCTGGATCATCCTCTGGTCATTTGCAGCAGGGCATGTTTGCCGCCAGCCCGTTCTCTGAGCCAATCATGATGGAACTCCACATTGGGCTGAACCTGCAGACGGACGACCCAGAGATGCTGTGGGTGATGGGTCCAGTCATGGCTGTGATTCTAATCATTGTCATAGTCATTGCTATTCTTCTCTTTAAAAGGTATGTCTGACAGACTGAAGGGCAGAAATGTGTTTTTTTTTAGAATATTCTACAAATACGATCCTCACCTTTTCTCTTTGATTTCTTTATATCAAATCACCATAGAAACCCAGCATGTGAAAAGTGACTTTAGGGAAAATGTTTATAACAGGAGGGGCACTGATATGTATGTGTTACCTATCAAAACATAAACTCCTTCCCTCTGCTGTTGAAAAACTTTCAATAAATTAACTGTTGTAAATAAGTTTAGCTTCAAAGGCAGGGTTGGTAATTTTTCGAAAAAACTAGCTTGATTTTGAAAGTAGCATTCCCTCAGTGCTCTGTCTACACCGCCCCTCCCCTCTGTGCTCCCTCAAAAGCCACGCGCCTCACTTAGGGGACCTCAGCTCATTACTTGCATTGTGTTGAAACTATGTCGTCTCATGTCTCATTCAGCGGTAAGTAAACTCACAGTCTAAACTCCGTTTAACACACAAGGGAAACAAGCAACACCAGGATAGACAATTAACAAATAAGACAAATAAGCAAAAAAACAAAGAATAAACAAACTAAACAAACTAAACAAACTAAACAAACTAAACAAACTAAATGAACTAAATTAATGACAAGGACCAGGTCAAAAAGACAAAATAACATCTGATTTACTGTTAACTTCAGGCATTTGTTTACTCAGTCAGACTTTTTGACGAATTATGTTCTGTAGTAGTTTTTGGTTGAAGGTGAGACCCTTTCATATCAAATCCCAGCAGTGTGAAAGATGTGGTAGACTCGTGTCTGAGCCAAGACGCTATGTTCAGGTCATTTGGTTTTGAATTATATAAATCATATATATCTTGTCAATAAAAATGAACAGTGCCTTTGGCTTCTCTATCCAGTGTGTTACGAGAATGAATGGCGTCTAGGGGATGCTCATCCTCTAACACAAAGCATCTCTGATGATATATTGTGCTCCATTAGTTAGATTTTTTTTTACTGGGACACTTTGTGGCATACCTGCAGCACAAAACTTAAAATGAATCCTCTCTTTCTCTGTTCCCTTACACTCGGTGTGACTGCTTTCTACGGCTGCAGCAAACAAGAAAGGTAAGTTTGTCTGTTTTTACTTTCCCCTCCAGAAACCAACACTAATCTTAAGCTGTTTGCCTGACTTTAGAGACCTTCTCCATTGTACAAAACATGCAAAGCCATGATATGGGACATTTTGAAAATTAAAATAGCACCTATCAAATATATGTGAATATAAAATGTAGAGTAATGACTGTATGAAAGAACTCCCTCTGGATTTGTTGTTCTCAGTTCTTTGTTCTCATAGATGTGACAGCGCTTCCTTCAGCTTGTGAATGTTTGCTCAGAGGCTCAAACTCTGTTTTTTTCATGTGAATCCCTCCCTCTCCAACCGTTAACTCACTCTACCACGAGGGTGGAGAGTGACCGCCTCGCTCACGCAGGGACACTGCATGTAGAGGCAGAATGGTGGATTGTCGTAAAGTACAATTCAACCAAAGGGAAACAAATATTCGGCCTAGTAAGACAAACAGATAAGAAAATCAAATTTGAGATGCAATTCACTTGAGATGATCACATGTGCCGAGTTCATGATTTCTGCTCATCTTCAATCATCTTCAAAGTAACCATTAAAGTATCTTTCCCTACTTAGTTATATGAGTCGAGGGTTCCTCCTCATCATAACTGTTCTTCTCCACCGTAGGAAACGAACATGTCCAGCTAAGGACGAGCATGTGAAAGGGATGAAGGATTCACAACTGAACAACTTCTCAGATCCTGTCGAGTTAAGGAGACTCAACTATCAGACACAAGGCATGGAACTGCACACATACACACACACACACACACGCACACACACACACACACACATGCACACAAACACAAACAAACACACCCACACACACACACCTATTATCCTAGCATCTGCAAGGTTTGTCTCCCTCCCTATCCAGTGTCTGAACACAAGAGGTGCTAATAAAGATCTAGTCATGTCTGCAGTGGGAATATTTGTTGCTATAATTATAATTAATTTGATGTCCAGTTCTTTGGATTGAATGTTGCAGTCTAAATTGAGCAGAGAAATGGGCCAATAATTAGCAGGATCCAAACTTGGATTTGAAAAACAGTTGAAAAACTTTAATAAATCTATTTCATTTTATGTATAAATTAATTAAATAGAAAGCATTACATGTTTATGTTAAGAGTTAGTTATTTCTAATTTCTACTTTTAAATTGTACTCCATTCTCCAACATATAAAGTGTGGGGTGGCTGTGGCTCAGTGGGAGAGTGGGTCCTCTCTCAACCAGAAGGTCGGGGTTTGACCCCCAGCTCCTGAAGCCGCATGTGTGATGTGTCTTTTCGTGCTTTGCTGTCACTCAGTCCTCTTTCCTGTTAAAACTCATTTTGATTCATCAGCAAATGCAAATATATATATTATGGAGCAATGAAAGTGTTGCTGTGCTTCCCTGTGTCTGACAGGTGTAGTGGTAGCTGTTGTGAACTCATTTATGTAAACACAGATACCCAAACACACAGATGTCTGAGTCATAAGCAGTGTGGTGTAATGGTGGCTGAAAAAGTGGGTATACTCTTAATTTTCCCTCCAAAATGTTTTTTTAGGTGACCCGCCTAGCAGAGGATAAACAGCCTCTGCTATAAACAGTGACATGTGAGACTACTCATGCACATTGAGTTAGTACATACTAGTCAATTAGAGACAGAGTAGGAAGGTCATCCAATCACCATCAGGGGAAAAAAATGCAGCAAACTACTGAATATTGTCAATCAATCAGTGGTGTGAATCAGAGAAGATTTAGAAGCGGGAATACTCTATGGAGACTAAAAAGCAAGTGTGCATACTCTATAAACCTGCGTACATACCCTGCACCACAACACTGTTCAGAAGTCATTCTGGCATGTGAATGCTGAAGTGAACTGCACACAGACTCTCATAAACACTCACTGAGACTTTTTTTTAAAAACAGTTATGAGTGTATGTGTGTCTTGTCTCAATGCTTAAACTCTGTATTGTGTTATGTAATGAATTTATTACTCCCTCTGTCACTGCAGGGATGAGGGAACACCCACCAATATCTACGTGTGACCTTGCAGACCACATAGAAGGACTCAAGGCAAATGATGGTCTGCGTTTCAGTCAGGAGTACGAGGTAACTCATGAGACACACTTTCAATCAGAGTCAAAGTCTTCTGGTTCATGGCAGCATTCAATTATTTCATGTCTTATAGCTGGGGTAATTTTGTGGGACAAAAAGAGTTGAACCCCCAAAAAATAAATGTTTGAATGTGTTTAGATCAGATCAGAAATTAACAGGATTTGACTAACCCTGTTTGTTTGATTTGAGTTGTCTGCAAGCTAAACAAGCAGAAGATTACAAACTAGAAAAATAAGGAAGCCAGCTTCAAGGTCTTCTTCGCTGGGATCTAATTTAGCACCATGTGGTGGGGTCAAGTTAGTTAAAGGAGTTGTACTTTTTTATTGACCTTTAATGAAACTGAATGAATAACTCTTTGGATTTTGACTCATAACAATGCATGCTGGGAAGAATCAGCTAAGTAGTTGTTGCAGTTTTGAGTTACAGTATCTGGCCGATGAGCTTAAACCACATTCACCACCAGAGGAAGCTTTTAAGAAGAGGCAAAGCATTTTCAAGAATTTAACTAAGTCCATCTGCCTCTTAGACTAAACTTTGACATACTCGATCAAAAATTAGGTAACAGTCTCAGACTCCCTGACACCTACCATGTTTGTCCCTTCTTTGTCTTAGTCTATTGATCCAGGACAACAGTTCACCTGGGAGAACTCAAACCTGGAGGTCAACAAACCAAAGAACCGCTATGCAAATGTTACTGCCTACGACCACTCAAGGGTCATCCTTTCACCTGTGGCTGGTAAGAGGCATACAGTATAGAGACATCTTGGGAGACTTCTCAAGTTTTATAGGTATTTTTCTATATTTCTATGTATCTCTACTTTGTCTCAAAATAGGAGCTCCAGGAAGCGACTACATCAATGCCAACTACATTGACGGCTACAGAAAGCAGAATGCTTACATTGCTACCCAGGGGCCATTGCAAGAGACGCTGAATGACTTCTGGAGAATGGTCTGGGAACAGAGGACCTGCACCATTGTAATGATGACCAGGCTTGAGGAGAAGTCACGGGTGAGCACGGATGCAGATAATTTTTGCTTATTTATGCCGAATTGTTTTTTTAATTTTCCAATATGTAATTCTGAAATTCACATACAAAAATTGGATACAGCTAAAAAAAACAAATAGCAATAAACAAAGGTCAAGATTAGTGAAACTTCTAATAAATATTTTTGAGGATATAAAGATAAATGTAATGCTCTGAAAGAACCTTTAGTGAAGACCATTAACAAATGCACCGACGAGTCAAAGCTGGAGTTACTGGCCTGCATTGAGTTCACGCATTTGAAATTCTGCTGCCTGTGCAACTCCTAAACTTGAACAATGATGCTACTGTTTCTGAAAAAAAAAGTGATGTGTTTGTGTTTGCAGGTGAAATGTGAACAGTATTGGCCCAATAGGGGCACTCTGACGTGTGGGATGATTCAGGTGACCATGCTTGACACTGTGGAGCTTGCCACTTATACCTTACGTACATTTACCCTCCTTAAGGTGAGCCACTTCCTGTTGATTGGAGATGGTATTTTTATTTGGTTCATGCCTAATTAAAATTCACTTTTACACATTCACTTTCCCCCCCAAAGAGTCATTTTAAATCAATGTTTATTCACTTTGTGGAAAAGGGAATTACCAAGTTTCTCTAAATGTTTTTGATGATAACTACATAATACATTTTCTGTGTTGAACACCCTTTTTATGGATGATGAAATGTGTAAATGTGTGTGTGCTTTATCAGAATGGGTCAAGTGAAAAAAGAGAGGTACGACAGCTCCAGTTTATGGCTTGGCCTGACCATGGAGTGCCTGAGTATCCCACCCCAACGATTGCCTTTCTACGCAGGGTCAAAGCCTGTAACCCTCCAGACGCTGGACCAATGATAGTCCACTGCAGGTAAACTATCCTTGACGTTAGAAGGCCTTAGTATGCTTCAAAGTTCCTTTTAAGTTATTATATATGACAGTCTGAATATTAATGCAGAAAAAAATCAAATACACCCTATTTACATAATTTATATTGCCAAGTTGTGACTTCCTAAAATCAAAGTCTCACTCCATTTGGAGTCCTGTCTTCACAGTGACAGGACTCCTTCAGCTTGTTTTTCGTTTCTCACAAAGGCTCAAACATGAGTCAGGTGGTTCTTTTTGATGTGAATCCCTCCCTATAACTTCTCGAACATCTGCCACCACACAGTGGCGATTCTCGAGTCTGCTGGGGCCCTAGGCAATAGTTGATCAAGGGCCCCTCCAACAACTATCATTTCAAACAGTGTCAAGATGCTCACCCTCTTCCAGTGATTTTCATTGACAAACTTTAGTTTTCACAAGAGTAATACATGACATGCTAAGCAGGGCAATGAGAGGGAGTGCTGTCAGATTGGGCCCCACTTGGGACGTTTCCTCCTGTCATTGCAAAACAGTGAGTAGAACTAAAGGAGAACCAGCCGACTCTATAAACAGAACATTTCTTTGGCCCAAAAAGGATTACACCCTAATCAACTTTCAGATTTATATTTTGTCACTTAAAATTTGTTGCAGAATCTTGTTTTCAAATGTAAATTTGCATATATCTGCCTTGCTGGTGAAAAAAGACAGAAGGGGTGGGGGAAGTGTGGAGACAGGAGGGGAGGGGGAGCTGTGGGATGAAGTAAGTGTGTCTAAAGAGCAATTGTTTCTGCTCTGAAAGTCGCATAGTAAACCCAAGCGGCAACCTCTGGTCTTGAAAAATGAATCCAATGCGGAAGTGCAAAATCGAGCAGTTCGTCGAATGTCCACTTGAGGCTGACACCAGGAGCAGCGGAAGTCACAAACACATGACTGGCAAAAAAGCTGTTTTTACATCGTAAATAAACATGTTTACAGCCTGGTACAAAAACAAATAGGCCTGATTACTTATTGTCATCATGGGCACACACTGTATGGGGGGGGTGAATTTTTTAAAACGGCTCCGTTTTGATTTTGACAACGACGTGTTATCCATAGTTTGGTGCGTAGCTGACATGATTGACATGTTGGCGCGATATAATGATTTGTCAAGAGGTTTAAAACCCGCCACAGCTCCAGCTCTCTGTCTGTCGATAGGTTGACTGAAAGTTAGGCTGAGACAGGATTTCCAGCATGACGGTGGCTGCAGATGAGTTTTCGGAGCCCCTTGCCGTAACAGATTGCACTCACCGCTGTCTCACTATGCCTTTATTGTCTGTGTATTTAATTCCTTTTTTGTTCTTCCTCATGTTGACAGATCTGTGGTTATTCCTTCATATTACCTTGTTCAAGTGTTTTCTCGTGAGTTGCTCGTGTATGATCTGTCTTTTCTTTGTTCACCCTGTCTTTGAGAGCTCATCTGGATTTGTTTGCGGATTGTTGGAGTTTTGTGTACCGAATGGGCTAATTAAATATCTGCTTGCTTTTATATGCCCCTGTTGGGTCTTTCTTTGGAATCCATTGTTCTGCATTTGTGCCAATACTAACTGGCCACAGATATGGATTCGGAAGACTCAGGCGCCCTCCATGCAGCTTTTCATGACCAGGAAGAGCACAAAACCGTCACGAGACCTTGCTGAACGCTGTCTATGGAGGCATCCAAGTACTTAGTAGTAAAAAGTAAAAAGACAGGCTTCCATTGGCTTCCATTGAAGCTCAAAAAGTGGTATCCAGCTTGAAATGCCCCTTCTACTTTATAATGTCACATCCATTGTCTGCCCACATTAAGCTATCTCTGTCTTTGTAGCCATAATTGCATAGTCTTGCAGTTCCCTTACATACTTAGACTGTACAGACACATGCAGAAAAGATGGATTACAGTGGAATTCCTATTAATCTTCTATCAATTAGTTTTTTGATAGTGGCAAATTTTATATGGAAAATAGACTTGAGCTTGTATAGCGCAATTCTACTCTTTTGACTACTCAAGGCGCTTTAACACCGCACACTAACCACTCCCACCTACATATTCACACACTGATGGTAGATGCTATGTAAAGTGTAGTATTGACCAATCCATTCATACAGATTCACATGCCACTGACGCAGGCGTATGTAACCAATTTGGGGTTCAGTGTTGCCCAAGTGCACTTCAACATGCGGTTGCAGGAACTGGGGATCGAATCCCCGACCTTCCGGTTGAGAGTTGACTGACTCATCTTAAGAAAAATGACCTCTGGACACTTTACAAAAGGAGCATGTGTTGATTGTACTTTAAAAGACCCACCACTAACTACCGTGAACAAAATGCTTCCTCTGAGAAACATCGAGTAGAACCAGACTCAGTGGTGCAGACAGGAGAGACAGACTGGGAGACCTACACAGAGCTATACAATAAGATGGGAAACATGTCAAGTTAAATACATGCACAGGCAACCACAAAATTAGCTTGAAAGCTCTAGTAGAGTGCAGTAACACAATCAGGACTTTGCTGTCATTTAAGACTATATGAATATAAAACCATGTTGGTGTCACATTGATGAACAAATTATTAACAGTGTTTTCTCTTTGTTTTCTGTCAGCGCTGGTGTGGGGAGGACTGGTTGCTTCATTGTGATAGCAGCTATGCTGGAGAGAATACAGCACGAGAAGTCTGTGGACATCTATGGTCACGTTACATGTATTAGAACTCAAAGGAATTACATGGTGCAAACAGAGGATCAATACATATTCATCCATGAAGCTCTGCTGGAAGCTGTAACATGTGGAGTCACGGACATCCCAGCCCGAAACCTGTATGTCCACATACAGAATTTTACCCAGATTCCTCCTGGAGAGACGGTCACCACATTGGAACAAGAGTTTAAGGTAAAAGCCTTTTTCTTTTTGGGTTGTTACCTCTGTAACCCAGGTTACGTTTTCTGTGCTGGTATTTGTTTTTTTAGTAATGAGGTTGTACATTCCTTGTCATTTGGATTATGTTTGTACGCCTAATACCCGTTATCACCGGGGGGGGGGGCAATCCGTACCAAACCGTGCCCAAGCATGCTTCACTCCTAAAGCTCAGTTCGTTTGACGGATCTGGGCTCGAGCACGGTACACTACCTTGGCCCTGGTACGCTTGGAAGAAGTGTGCTTCAGCACGGTACAGTTCATGTACAAGCACAAGCAGGCAGGTACATAAACACTGACACTGACTGTTCTCTCTCTATCTGACTATCATGACTCAAAATAAGACACACAGTCAGTAAAGTAGCTGTCATGTTCTCTGTGTTGTTCTCCAATGTGAAGACGAGGACCCGACAGCGAGTCCCTTTTTTTTCTTTCTGTTGTCTGCCTGTTTGTAAACTGAGCACGCTTCATGTGTTGTATTATGACGTTAAGTACAAGAGGTTACCGTGCTCAGGCCCGGTTAGTCCTGGAGCAGTGTGAGTGCAGGCCATCGAGGGAATGGGGGGAGGGGGGGAATCGAGCTTAAGCGTTGTACGGGTACGAGTGTGAGTGAGATGAAAAAGCATTTCCCCGGTTTAATCCAGTGTTTCTGTGGTAAATGTTTTTTTATCGTCCAACTACATTTCAATAAGGCATTACCTGAGTATTATTTACAAAAACCTTTCTAATTTGAGGAAATCAAATTAAAAAAACTAATTAAAGTTAAACTATATAATATAATTCACTTTATTTTAAATTAGAGCTTTTGTTCCCTCTGCCCTGAAACAAACTTCATATCTCACATATTCCACAAAGACTGATGTTATTACCCTTTAAAGTGGGCAGAGGAGGACACTGGCACACGTGGGTGTAGAGAAGCTTTAACTTCTTCCAGGCTGATGATTGGTTGTCTTCAGAGACCTGTTCTGCTCTCTGTCCTTACAGAAACTGGCCAACCCTAATGCACATACCTCAAGATTCATCAGTGCCAATCTACCATATAACAAATTCAAGAACCGCCTGGTGAACATCTTGCCTTTTGAATCCAACCGTGTCTGCTTGCTGCCAATCAGAGGGGTGGAGGGATCGGACTACATCAATGCCAGCTTCGTTGATGGATATAGGTGTGTCCAAAAAAAAAATCAACTCAGAATATGAAACACAGGAACTAAGAAAAAGAAGGGTGTTCTGAAGCAAAATGTAGGGGAACGTTAAAATCAGGATTGGCTCAACTTAAGTCTGGGGGGGGGGTTCTTTGTCAGCTGATAGCAGGAAATGTTAACTAGAGTTTCACTGATAAATTGGTGTCATTGATAGGCCTGTCATTATTTATCTTCTATTAGCTTTCTTTTTATAGCAGTCAAATTAAATTCTACTATAAAACCAAAGCTAACACAGACATTTCTTTGACATCATTTGCAGGCAACAGAAAGCGTACATCGCTACCCAGGGCCCGTTACCTGAGACCACGGAGGACCTCTGGAGAATGCTGTGGGAACAAAACTCCACGATTGTAGTCATGCTCACCAAACTACGAGAGATGGGACGGGTAACATATCACTGTCACTACTTCAGTTATGTTAATTAATTAAGTTTAAAACAGCATGCTATTCAAATGGACCAGAACCAGAACCTTTAATATTAAAACTTGTCTCCTAAACAGTTATGACGTTGTGTAAAAAGGAAAAACCAAAGCAGAAAGTGATTTGCAACATTCAAACTCCAAATCTAATGCAAAAGACGACAACAATATTACAACATATCAAATGTTGAAACTAAGAACACTCGTTTTGGAAAAGTATATTCCATTATATTATATATAAAGTATCTTTGAGAGAGAAAGAGAGGGAGAGATAAGAGCTGAAGGTGCCAGTTTCCCTGGTAGTCTGAGCCTATAGCAGCAAAACTAGGAGCTGGTCTCTACACCAGATCCAGCCCTAACTATAAACTTTATCAAGAAGGAAGAGGTAGGGTAGCATGGGCATATTTTGGTCATAGCAGGAAATTAAGAGTCTTAAAAAAAGCAACATTGCCCCAGGAAAAAAACGGTTTGCATTGTTCTTGTTCGGCCTTGTCAGTGCCCCCTTGTAATAACATCATAAAGTGAGGCCCGGGACCGTTTGAGAATCACTGCATTTATACGATCTTTGATATAAACTATAAGAGAGCTTAATGTACTAAAATCACACGCAAGAGACCGGCTGACAGAGAATTAGAAGAGTATCAAGTAGAGGCAATTTACCACTCAATAAATGACCACAAAATTAAGCTTTAACTTCAATATTTTCTAAAAAGTTTCAATAATGGTTTTGACACTGCTAAATAAAACTGAACTTACTAATTGAGTAGTAAAGCACTATCCTAATCTAATCATTTAAAGCGCCACATGCAAAATGTGCCGCTGAATTATACAGAGCTTCACATCCTTCCTCTTGGAATAAAAATTCTGCACTCCAGTGTTACATGGACAGTGATTGATTTCTACAACATAAACTCACCGTTTCTGCATCCCAGCATGTAATCCCCACGACTCTTTGCTGACCACGAGCCACTGATTTGCTCAACCATTGAAAGGAGATCATTTCTGCAACTGACAGAAAATGTATAATCTACCACGGCTTCACTATTCTATTTGTTCCATATCAATGATGCCCAAACTAAATCTTGATGCATTTACTCCTTCACCTCTTTAGGAAAAGTGTCATCAGTACTGGCCTGCTGACCGCTCTGCACGCTACCAGTACTTTGTGGTGGACCCCATGGCTGAGTACAACATGCCTCAGTACATCCTGAGGGAGTTCAAAGTCACAGATGCAAGGGTAAGTTCTTCTCAGCGAAGCTTTACTGTTGTTGCATGAAGTAGCACTGTAGGAGCATGGCTTCATGGTGTCTTTTTTTAATTGAAATGGCCAACAACCTAATGTAAGATATTATTTTTTGGAAATGGAAATATTTGTGCTGATATTTGTACAAGAGTTTAATATAAGTTTTTGTTTCTAATGAGTAGAGAGTGTTCGCAGCAGAAAGCGGCCGCCTGGAGAAAAAACGCAGCACCCGGCGTCTAAGCGCTTCTTCTTCAAGTTGAAAATCTTTCCAATTTTCAAAAGTTCTGTTGACGTCACAATTTTGCCACCTACTGATCGTGTCGTGTACCCACATCCTCTTTGCTCCGTGTCTGATCGGGTAAAAAACATGTAATAAAAAGTAATGGAGCAGTGTGGGTCAACAGACTGTTGTCAGGGCGCTGGTGACACAGTGGTTTGTGCGCGCGCCCCATGTTTGGAGGCTATAATCTTTCAAGTGGGCGGCCTGGGTTCAAATCCAGTCTGTGGCTCCTTTCCCGCATGTCATTCCCCACTCTCTCTTTTCCTGATTTCCGACTCTATCCACTGTCCTATCTCTCAATTAAAGGCACAAAAAAAAACAAAAAAACCAAAAAAAAAACAGACTGTTGTCATGGAGACAGGATGTCACAGTTTTCTACCCAGAAAAAACTGCAGGTGGACATGGGGCCTAAGGCAGGTTTTTTGTGTGTTTTGTGCTGGCAGCACCCAGGACCTCAGTTTCAGAGCGTTTCTCACTTGGGCTTATTCTTTGTTGCTACGTTACATGTTTTCCTTTATTCAAGGGATTTTCACCTTGTCCTGGCATTAGCAGCAGCTCTGGAACTGGAAATTGTACACTGGAATCAGAAAAACAGCAGATGTTGTACATTGTAGCCTATGTTGTTTTCATACTTTGTAAGCAAGATGCTAAGCGTTGAAAATGCTGAAATGCAATGGTTTTGTATTGAAAATGTGTGCTGACACAAGCCCTAACACATAATAAAAGTTCAAATTGAAGGATATTTTCTATTACACTTTGAGACAAAAGGTGTAAGTACATGTTTTCATGAATTAATTCATCTTGATAATTTTGAGGATATTTCATTTACTTCTGTCAACCAGCTAAGGGTCATTCTTCTTTTAGGATTGTGAAGCTGTTTTTAAAGGGACCTAACAGCAGCAGAGTTATATTTGGATTGGAGCCAACCATATGTTGTCAACAACTGTTTGCTAGATTGCAGTGTGCATCTGTTACGTATACAAATCATGGTCACGTCATCTTTATTGCCTTAAAGTGATGTACCCATATAGCAAGGAATTTGTGGGCTGTACCTTCTAGCAGGATATAAGCAATGTGTGAAGATGAAGATTTGGTCAGCATGGGTCAGCCATGGTCCGCACAATAAATGGAATCTATCTTTTTAATAATTGAGATTTAGGATGACCAGAATATGTCTGATTGGACTGATCACAGATAAAACTATACCAGATAAATGCTTTGACAACAGGTTCCAAATGAACAAGTCTTTTTAGAGTTTAGAGTGATGATTTACTTTGAGCGTATGATTAAATCAGCTGTAATCTGTGAAAAGGGTTGATAGTCTCACATCTAATCAATTTGATTCACTCATTTCTCAAATCTCTTTTCAAAAATAACATTTCTATATGAAATATATTTTTTGGCGACTATAACTCCTTCAAAGTTTGTCTTCTTGGTCAACATCTCAGCCCAAACACTAGCCAATAGCTGATGCAGCCAAATAACCTGTTTTAGATATCCAGACAAGGAGCAATGTTGCCAGAAAGACGGAGGGGAAGGAGAAGCTCTTTAAAGGTTTCAAGAACAACAGACATTGATCCTGAAGTGATGTCGCCACAGGCCTCCTGTCCTAGGCCTACAAGCATCACTTGGGCCCTCATTAATCAACAGTGCACAGAAAGTGTTCTATGAATGAAATTTAGATTGTGCATAAGTACAGAAAAATCTGTATTTATCAAACATTCGGAGGGCGATCATACACACATCGGTAGGTAATCAGTGTTGATGAATCCCACATGTTCCTAACCAGCAGGCTTGTGCACGTTCCGGGACATTTGAATTTAGAAACGCCCCCAATTAACCATTTATGGTAACAACACACCTCTTTAAAACCACGTTAATATATTTACCTCCCATAACTGTCACAGCGGTTCTTTAAAGGTTTTGAGACCAATTTCTGTTTCAAACTAGACAAAATCCTGAATTTTGTGTTTTTAATTAAAGAAAACTTGGAGTATGCATCTAAGCTGAGATTGATTCAGGCGGGCTGTGACACTCCTAGTGCTTTTTATTTGTAGTTTTAAAGTTTTACTGTTAGATTCTATGTGTAAGCATGGTCAGACCTGTGCTTATATTTACCCACATGTCTAAGTAAAAGTACAAGTTGATAAATTTCACTCTTTGAGTGGGAATGTTCTTACGCACTCACTACGCACAGATCCATGAGTACACACTGCTGATAAATAAGGGCCCTCTGTAATGAGCTATGATGACATACTAGAACTTGCATACAAAAAAGTGGAACGCACGTCTCGGCAGCTGCCATTTTAGTTAAAACTGAATTCTAGAGGTTTAAATATTTTGAACTGCTTTATTTATATACATTTCTGACTATTTTAGCTTCCGTTATATAAAAAAGCACAGGTGACACTCCTGTGTAATATGTATCCACCCTTTCCTGAACCCCACCACGACCCTAAATGCCTCCTACTTAAATGGTGACCTACAATATCTCTCTCCTTTTTCCTGTGTGCTTGTTAGGATGGTCAGTCAAGGACAATCAGGCAGTTTCAGTTCACTGACTGGCCAGAGCAAGGAGTGCCAAAAACAGGGGAGGGTTTCATTGACTTCATTGGCCAAGTTCATAAAACGAAGGAGCAATTTGGACAAGATGGACCCATCACTGTGCACTGCAGGTAAGTGTTATTTTGTGCAACTATGGTAGTGACATAGAATTAGAGATAGCTTTAACCTGATGTGTGATTAAAGTCCTAAATGTTACCATTTCATTTGTCACTCCTTGGGATTTTGTCCTTTTCTGCACAACATAGTTGAGTCGCGCAGCATCTCTCGCTGCCGCAGTGATGGAATATAACAACACCACTAGATTTCTGAACGGCTCAATTTAATTTACTAAACTCCAAGACAGTTCAGTTTGACATTTAAATGTAATATACACCTTCAGTCAAACGGAATTCAAATATCACCGAAATTACTACCACTGAGGAGCTTGGCTAGAAGTGCAGATAATCAGACTGATGTTTGTTGCCACTGCATCACTACAGCTGGCAGAAGAATATTTGTTATTGAGAGTGAAAAATGCCACTGACTCTGCTCGATCTGCAGAGTCCCTTTGCACCTTTTAGAAAAAGCTAAGCTCTTTTATGAATACCTACGATCTTAATAATGATCAATGATGATGGTTGCTGAACAATGGATTTCATATATTCATGATGATGATGATGGTTTTGTTTGATAACGATGAGTGTTAAGATGGTTTCTGTACTGATGAGAACTCTCAAGAACTGCCTTCGATGTTGTGCTTTGCCTCTGTGTTCTGCCTGTCAGCACCTGTGTGATCGGACTCAAAGCTGATCGTTTTCACTTCCTGACATTGTTTCCTCTTTTCTAGATCCTCGCGTGTGTTGTTCTTACTCTCTGATGTACGTCGCTTTGGATAAAAGCATCGGCTAAATGAAATGTAGAATTTTAAAAACAAAATTACTACAGCATTAATAATTAATCACAACAAAAAAATATATAACAAAAACAGCACTTACAATAAAGATAATGACGATAACAGTAAGAAGAATAAGAGGTTTAAAGTGTGCATACTGGTATGTTTAGAAATTGAGCGTAGCGTTAGTTCAGGCTGGCCATGGAGTCACACTTTATTATCACGCCAGAGTTCGGTTACAACGTTATTACGCAAGCCGCCTCAGCAGATGGCCAGCTTCCTATTGGCCAAATAGTACGTATGCACCCTTATTTAAACTGCTCTAGCTGCCTACTCTTTGCTTCTCCCTCCGCAAGCCGCATTTGCGTCCCTCCTCTACCCCAGCTCCTCCTTTTAAACTGTTCTGACTTAATCAATGTCATGCTGCTGTCTGTTTGGGGTTTGCACGAGAAGGGCAGGAATGTGTGCTGTTCCTGCTTAATGCTTTCCACCTAAGCACGTGGAAGGACCAGAAGATCCCAGAGCAGAGCCATACCGCCAAATATTAATAACTGCAATAAAGTGTTTTTTCTTAACAAAGCGGTCCTGACTGAAATGCACACATACATACACTCATATTCATAACATTATTATTTACACAGATATCAGTTTAATTTACAATAAATTGCATTGATATTGTGATATATATTTGTTTCTGTCCTATCCATGAATCTGTCTTTTCGGCCATCTTCTTACATTTCTTTATGGACTGTTAGAAGACATGTTTGGATCCAGCTCACATGTAGCTCGCTTGTTATTCAAAAGATCAGAAGGATTAGAAAGAATATATTCCACGTTTCTTCAAAGACCAATATCATGGGAGGCTGATTGTTATTGTGTGCCTTTGCAGTTTAGTGATCTTGTGAATATCCTTTAAAGAGTTTCTGAAGTTCTGACTTTATCCAAACTTTAAAGGCTTATATTTGAGTAGCAGTAAGTTTTCTGTCCTCTGGCATATATTTCATCTGAGCTTGAGTAGTATATGTGTTTGTGTGTGATCAAAGAGTCTAATAACGTGATCGTCCAACAGTGCGGGTGTTGGGCGTACTGGTGTGTTCATTACCTTGAGCATTGCCCTGGAGAGGATGAGGTTTGAAGGCGTGGTTGACCTCTTCCAGACCGTCAGGACTCTACGAACCCAGAGGCCAGCCATGGTGCAGACAGAGGTATGACATGCACTTTTAAATTCAGCTTAGGTAATCAAGTTCCCTTTTTTGTGATTGATTTGATTCTGCCATCCATTTTTAAACCACAAAGTGGTGCACCTGCTCCTTGCAAACAGGACTGTGCTGCAGAGCGACAGGCTGCAGGCACGTGAAGTCCAGGTGTAGAGTGAGGAAAGCACTCTGGCCTCTCCAGGGCTTCTTTGACTGTACGGACTGGTCCGTTTTTCAGAAAGCAACTAACAACATAGACGGAGTGTTTCCTGTCCTTATACCGAGCCATGAAACTCACTGTAACCAAGAAACTGAAAAGTCTGCTCAGGGAGAAACAATTGTAGACTTTTTTTTTTATCTTATGCTGAAATTAGAAAAGCAGTTTGATCTGAAGTTGCAAAACTCAAATATAAAGAAAATATTGAATACAAGTTCCATGAGGCTGATCTGAAAGTAATGACAGGTCTGCAAAAAAAACCAATATTACTGTGACCTTGAATGGTTTTACTTTACTCCCTAATGAGTGAAATAGTTTTATATGAGATTGAACAACATCTGTAAAGTTGCCAAGGACTCCTCTGCTTTTGATATCGATGTACCCACAGTTGCTCAGCTTTGTAAACAGACTAGTGTGAGTAAGAGCTCTGGTCCTGACAACACGAGTGGCTCAAGTCTTGTGATTTGTAACTAAGTGGTAACTTAATTTTCCAAGTTATTTTTACACTTTCTCTTCAAGCGTGTAAGTGTAGACACAGTCCACCATTGTCCCGGAGGCTAAGTGTAGTAAACCCAAAACCTTAAATGATTTTGGATCAGTAGAAGTTACCTCTTTGGTGATGAAGACCTTTGAGAAACTAGTAAAACAGGAGATACAAAAGCAGTGAAGGTCAGTTAGAACTACTTCAGTTGGCTTACAGGGTGGGTAGAGGTGTTGAAGAGGCATCATTAACTCTGCTACATTTTTTTGTTCAATGTCTGGAAGTCTCTAAAACTCGTGTTCGGCTCCTGTTCATTGATTTCTCCCCACGACGCCCCAGTTCTATTTTCCTCTCTGTCGCTTGCGCCAACGGACAAATAACGAGGAAGGAGGGGGGTGTGACTGTCGTGTCTTTTTGCTTGCTTCTAATCACCTTTGGCGTCTCGCATGATCGCACGCTGGCTGTCCACACCGCATCCATTAAATACTTAATTCTTTGCTCTGCGAATTTTAGTTTCCCCTCGCTAACATTATAATATCTAGTTCTTTTGTACTGAAGGAGGAACAACTGAAGTGTGGTGCTTTGTATTTAGGAACTGTTGACTCAAATCACAACACTCAGAGGCTCGTCAATAAACGGCTCGCTGTGAGCTGAAAGAAAGTTTTTCTCCGGTGTTGACACAAGTCAAAGCTCATCATTTCAAACACAGATGTGGATAGTATTAATGCACCGTTATCTCCTCTTTGTACAACAAGCTAACGAGCTCTGTTGAGTGAGAAAAGCGAGTGTCAGTGCCGTGTAGAGCCCCCTCCCTCCTCGTTCTTTGTTCAACACGAGCGACAGAGAGGAACATAGAAACGGGGCGTAATGGTAAAAACGGCGCACCACGTTGCGCTTCTTCATGGCTGCGTTGCTCACAGGCAGATAGGACACTCAAATAGGAAACAATAGAATCAGGCGGATTTTCTCACGTGCTGTTAGGACAGGCTGTGATAATCAATGTGAAGTTGAGTTTAAACAGAACTTAATATTTTTTTGTCACCAGGACCAGTATCAGCTTTGCTATCGGGCAGCTCTGGAGTATCTGGGAAGCTTTGATCACTATGCAACATGACTTCAACAAGAACCCTGAGAAGAGGTCTGTGTTGACCCTGATCCATATATGTGAAGCTCAGCTCCTCCTGTCCCTGCGGCCTAACGCCCTGAGGAGGACTGATGAGAGGGTGAACACAGCAGGAGGCAGAGTAGATCAGAGGAAACGTTGAAGGAACTGGAGAACCCCTTGCTGGACTGGAACCAAGATTCTGCAACCCAACAAACACCAAAACCTCCAAAAGAAATATTCCCTTCAGCCATGCGTCATTTGAATTATTTACCTCATCCTCTCATCACTCACCAGTTTCTTTCTCCAGATAGCAAAAACGTTCTTTCTGAACTTTAGTTACATTCATAGTTACTCAGTTTTATGAATATATATAATTTATTATGTAACAACACAGTCATCATAATGTGTCTCATTGAAACTTTTAAAAGGATATGTATTTCCAACATAATGTAGAAAATATATTCACAGCTGCTGATTATTTGAATTTGTGCCATCGATATAATAATCTAAGAAAGGTTTTACGCATCATATTCTTCATGTTTTACTCTCTCCTCCAAATGTTAACTCAGGTATACTAACTACAGTCTGCTCTCTGCGTTTAGTAAATATGTGTGACAACATGTAATACTGATATCATGGCCCATGCATGAAAAGAAAATCAGTGATGTCATCAGGGAAGAACTCTAACACGGCATTTTCCTGCGAGGTGCTTGTAAAAATAAAGCACTTTATTATGTTAGTTTAGTTTCTAAATGTTAAAGGATGAAGCCATCTTTACTCCTCATGCTCTTTTTGTCAACAACTTTCTTGCAACACAACACCAATGTGCTAGTCAGTCCATAAATACTTTCAGAATATGTCTACGACTTTCAGCACAAAGTTTTATTTCATGCTACAAATGTAGAGTTTGAAAAGGGCTCATAAATCAAATCAAGTTAAAGACTGTAATGGCATTACTTAAGGTCAAGATTTGGTCAAAATAAAAAACAGTGAGACACACTGATTTGTTTTTAATTTAATGAAAGAGAGGAATAAAATTTGAAAACACATTTTATTTACAGTTTCATTTGAAAGTGGGATAAACCCATTGCTTATTTGAGACTGCAGATTGGTTTTCATTCAATCAATTATTTCCTTTACAAAACAGCTAACTATGCCCAAAGTACCATCCATTACACAATAGTTACTTTGATTAGCTGAAAATATTTTAACTTCTCCTCACAAGTTACCAGATTTTTTAGACACATACTTTGTCTTTTACAAAATGAATTTACTTTTGCTGAAAAACCCAATTATGATCAAACAATCAATAGACAATGCATTGTTGTTTCATGGACCCATTCGTTCCACCAACATGATTCTGACTTAGCTTTAGGGAAGAGATTTATAATTACCATTTCTAACCATCTTCCACCTTCTGCATACATGGCTTTGCACAGACGGGTAAAACAAGCGGATCAACTAGATGCCCATTCATTTTTATATCACCTCAACTATTTATCAATGTGTTGCACTGGGACAGACTTGCAACTGACACTTGGCCACAGTGGAGGATCTCTATGGATGCAATGCCCAGGTGAGCAGGTTTTGGAAAAAGTAATGTTGCAGGTTCGTACAGTGGGGGTGGGGGGGAGTTGTGGGCTATTCATTGGTTTTGTGTATTTGTTAATAAAGCAGATGAAAATTCTTAGAAACTTAATGTTAATAAAGTTCAATTATTGGATTTTTTAATAAAGAAATTGTGGCTTTCTTTTCACTTTGTATCCATGTGCAGAGCAGGTAGAAAAAAATAATGAGAGTTGGGAAGAGGGAAGACCTTTCAGCAGCAGAGGCACGCCCCATGAGGAAACATTGACAACCTGCAGGGAGATCAATCTGAGTGTGGGAGCCCTATGGTCTGGTACTCTGACGACTGGCAGCATGTGAATGTGCATGAATGGATTAGTTAATGCTGCCATGAAAAAAGGTTGTGAACCACTGGATTAGTTAACACCAGAGATGAGGACAATTCATCAAAAATATAACTCAGTTGGCAGTTAATCTGCGAACAAAGACGTTAACTTTGATATCAGTTAATCCCATTAATATTTCACTTTAGCCGGTATTACCGGGAAATAACAAAAACATCAGCTTTTTGCAATGTCAATAGATCTGAGATCGTAAGAGGCCCGGAGGTACTTAGAAAACTCAAAATTACACGTGTCTGTATTGAAAATCTACAAATAGCCTAATAGACACTTTTTGATACAGAATCACCTCCGCTGATGGCCCGTCCACCCACACTGATAATGTGTTTTCTCATTATCTCATCAATTAAACATCTGATGTTCTGTGTATATCACTCATGTTATACATCCCTAGAAAGCTAGTAGTACTGATTTTGACCTTGTAAACCAACACAGCAACCACACTGTACACATCTGTCAGACCTCTGACAGACAGACTAGTCTTTCTGATTAATTTGTCTTATAGTCTTCAGGTCTATTGTTCTCTTCAAGTCATAATATTCCAACAAAAACGGGTTCTGCTGGGGCGTTGGTGTCGCAGTGGTAAGTGCGCGTGCCACATGTATGGAGGCTATAGTCTTCCAAGGTTCGAATCCAGCCTGTGTCTCCTTTCCCACATGTCATTCCCCACTCTCTCTCCCTAATTTCCGACTCCAGCCACGGTCCTATCTCTAAATAAAGGCACAAAAAGCCTCAAAATAAAAATCTAAAAAACAAAAAAACATGAAAACAAAACGGTCCTGCAGGATCAGCAAAGATCCCCATGATCCAAATACAGCATTAATATCTAGAATAAATAAACATCTTTCATATCATTTTGGTGATTTTCAAGCGTAAATGTTAACTCGGAAGTGGCTAAATGCAAGCTTACAGGGCATTATCCCACTACATAGCAACCTCTACCATCAGTGTGTGAATGTGTAGGTGTGACATGGGGTGTAAAAAGCTTTGAGTAGTCAGAAGACTAGAAAATAAATATACACGCTCAAGTCCATTTATTATCATTACTTTGAAATAAAACAGTTGCTCAGATTTGGGATTTTAACATGACTTAAACCAAAGAAACCCAATTACATTTGGGCTTCCAACCTCAGGGGTGCCGAGTCACATCCCCTTCCAGAAAGGGACGTGGTCAGACACAGCTCACTTACTTTTAAAGCTATAGACACAGAAATAGCCTTTTCTGTGCAGGGCTGAAATAGAGGTTTATTGGCATGCTAAGATACAGGTGGATTTTTAGTGAGAAAATGTAAACACATATTTTGGGGACCTCTGAGACTTATTTCAGCTGGTTAAAAATAAGTACAATATGTGTGCTTTAAACCTAGAGCATAACAGTAGGACATGACAACAACATTTGGGCTTCCCATTCTGAGTGTGACGTCAATAGCTTACGTGGGAAACATGATAGTGTTCCAATGTTATGCGACAAAAACTGCCGCTATTCCCATTGAAACATCAAAGCCAAGCAGAGCTAGCACAAGCTGTGCTAGCGATCCTTGCATAAGACAAACACTAAATATAACCAGACTAAACTTCCATCAGCTAAAAACATAGCAACAGAAACTGAAGCCTCTCTAGCAATGTTCTGGCTGCAATAACAAATTGCGATAACAAGTGAAGAGATTTTGGAAAACAACAAGAAAACGGCAAAATGTTTTCCAGCATTGTGCAACGTGTGGATCTGAATTCCTTTGGTATCAGCGAATGCAAGTCTAAGATGGAAGAGCTGCAAAAGAAAACGTAGACCTGAAGAAAGGACATGGCGATTTAAAAGGGAGAGTGCTTGAAGCAGAACGATACAAGCGCCGCTGGAACTTAGACTTTCTGGTCTGAAGGAACAAGACGAAGGAAAAAAACATCAGAGAGGAAATCCTAGAGCTCCGTCTTCAACTTAAATCACAATGCATGGGCACCTAATTTTGTCTTAGGTGTTTCCCGAGGAACTAATTTCCCCAATGTGTCCGATACCTCATGAAGGCACCATAAGCTCCCACTCTCCTCAAACTTTAGAAACGCCCCTGCGTGAGTTTGTGTGTGAAACCAGCATTTTGTTGGGGATAAAGCTATAATAGCCACTCTATTCAATTTTCTTTGTTTAACATGTCACATATGACTAAAGTAAAGGCCTACCGCCGAGAGCCTAGTTTGATCTTATATTTTAGTTTAAGGCTGCTTCCAAGTCGCTTTTCCACCAGTTTTCACCTGTGATAGGTCTATTATAAGGGTGATTAAATAGGCCTATTAAATGAATAGACTACATTCACACTTATGCGCTGCCTCGAGCATCAGTTTTCTCCCACGCCACTTCTCCTTCCTTTGCTGCTGGACAGTACTGTTTTTTCTAAAAGATAAAGATAAACTTTATTGATCCCCCATGGGGGAAATGTTTTCATTACAACAGCTCAAGAAATCAGGAAACAGGAATATAATTATAATAAATAACAAGAAGTTAAAAATCAAACATATGTAGGCCTACATCAAAATTATGATCATACGAGTCGAGAGAGTATGAGGACGTCTTTTTTGTCACCTGTTGCCATTGTACACTAAATATTAGTATCTGACTCCATTAATGTATAATAGTCTTCTTAACTTAAATCTCCAATTCAGTAACCTGAAACTATGAGTGTCCTATCTGAGACTAAAAGTAAAAGTCAACTCAGACTCAAAGTTAGACTGAAGAGTTCGTTCAACCTCCTTTCGGAAACGGGCCTCTGAACAATGACAATTGTTGGGGGCTTCACCGTCTAATTTTTAATTTCATCACCCCTCTCATGTCTCTTATTGCATCCTCGATGATGTTTGACCAAAAAAAAAAAAAAAGCAAAGAGAAAGAGAAAAAAGGCAACAAAGGGAAAAGTGGATGGATTTTTTGGCGATACAGCGAATCTGTGTGAAATGGTGTCCTGTGATTGGCTGGAAACTCCGGAAGTCCCTCCCGCGGAGTGACATGTAAATAAACACACACTGAGCATGCGTCACAGAAATAATGGAGGACTGTCTTTTCTACCCCGACCGATGATGTCTGTATTTCTACTTTAAAAGACTTGACCGAGGACAAAACGACTCGTCGACACTTCATTCAACGTAAGCTTTATTTTTTGGACATTCATAAATAGTTTTTATGTTTTTTTAAAGTTTGTGTCCAACAAAGTAACGGAGCAATGTTTTCTTGTTGGTTAGCTTCAAGCAGCTGTCAAACCTCAGTCCGCAGACTCAACCAGAGCGGGTTCTTGTGCTTTTATTTAGTCATTATTTGGTTTTTACAGAACACCTGGGTTGTCTGAAGACGACTGTGCGTTGTTTTTAAGATAACACTTACATTTCCCGAGAGCCCAAAAGCTTATCGGGGTTTAGCATGTTAGCTCACGGACTAGCTCAATCATCTTCCGAGGAGCTGTGCTGTCACTGGGCCACGGGGGTGAAACAGACATGTTATTCACCCAATCACAGACTCAGGATGTGTGAGGTTTGTTTTGTAGACACGGTTACACGCTGGATTTAAAGTCTTACGGGTTGGATGTGTAAAGTCCATACTTTAAATCAGAGTTTAAAACCCTCGAGTTTCTTTTGCTCTGTGAAGTTTTGAGACGAGTCTTCATCTCATGGGAACATCATGTAATGCATCATGATTACATTACATTATCAATGGCGATTCCAGAGTCTGTTTTAATTTAATTGGGGGCCCCTTCATCTACCATTATGTCTGCCAGTGTCCTGACACTCTTTCTCTGTCTTCTGCACTCCCACACAGATCATTTCACTTCAGTGACTTTTATGACAAACTATGGGATATTACATGAGAGTGAGTTCTGTCAGACGGGGCCCCATTAGGGAGGTTTCCTACTGTCATTTCTATTGCTGCAGTTTTAAGTTTGTCGGGCCCCCTTACTGGCCTGGGGCACCGAGCAATTACATGTCTTTCCTGTTGACACGCAGGGCCTCTGTACATGATCATATAATGTTTATCATGACATGTGGCTGCCCTCTTGGCGAGGTCATCCTTGTGAAAGAGATCTTTATCTCAGTGGGTTAATTTCCTGAGTTAATTATAAATAATAAAAAACACTTATAGCACTGGCATTTTTTTTTAGTAATGTTGAGGTATAACAAAGTTTTAACATAGCCGAACTGGGTCTTAAATTGCCTTTAAAGTCCCCATATCAACTTAGGCCAGATTTGACCTGGGTCAAGTAAAGTGATGTCGGTTCTTATGTGGTCTGGAATTAAGAAATATGCTTGTTAAACAAGATAAGTTTGTACTCTTTAGCTGTTTTTAATGATTAATGAAAGCATTTAAAGATCTGAAGTAGAGTTATTTTTACATTTCTGTAGTTGTCTGGTCAAGGTAGTCTTGGATAGGGTTAGGCGATATGATCTTAAATCAGTATCATGATTAATTGAACATTTTACCCTTGATTACGATGAATTCGTTTTAGTTTTTTTTTCCTCATAGTTCACTGACATGTTCTCTGCTGTAAATATGCTCAACTATTAAAGCTGGGGTATTGTTCCTAATGAAAGAGCTCGTATCTGATGAACTATTTTGTGGTCATTTATTGAATATTTCAAACTGAGATCAAAGCATCGCTTGAAATGAAAACGACACATTTTAGTTTTAAAGTAGAAATTAAATAACTTGCAAACATTTTTTCTGCAGTGTTTACATTTGACTTATTTTTGTCCGGCGTCATCTTCCCTAAGGACAAAATCTGACTTTGAGGTGGTCAGCATTGAGGCTATAGCTTGAAACTTTAGTATGGATTAATAAGGTTAATTTTTGAAAGTAAAAAAGGTAAATAGGTTAAGAAGCACAAGCCCCAAACCTTTAAACTTTCCCTGTAAGTGCAGAATCAGACAACAGCATTAGCTGTGTATTGATATGTCTGTTAATGTGAAGTGGCATCACATCACATCATCATGGTTTAGGTATTTTCACCTGTGGCCACTTACCTGTCTGCTTAATTACTGTCATGATATTTCTATTTTTGTAGCTTTTAGCGATGTTTGAATTTTTTTTTTGTGAAAAAAAAAAAGTCACTGTTGCAGACTTGGTCACCATCTGAAATGTGGAATTTGTATAAAGTGGGATAGATACAGTCACACATGCATATTTTAATGATCTTGCTCTTGTTCTCCACTGTTTAGAGTTGAGGTTGAAGTATCAATCTCAAGATGACTGCTGACATGCCAGTCCAAAGCGTAGGCTCCAGGTTAATGACCTTCACGCCCTCCAAAGAGGAGTTCAAGGATTTCAACGGGTACATTGCCTACATGGAGTCAAAAGGGGCACACAAAGCTGGAATGGCAAAAGTAAGTTGGGTCTGTTGTGTTCTGTCTGTGTGTTTGCTGATCATTTCTCTTTAAATGTGTGTTAAAGCCTTAACTGTATGTGAGTTAATGTATAATAACAACAAAAGACATTATTGTTAGCAATGATGCTCAGTGAGGCATTGAGTAACTTATTGTAAAAAAGACAAGCCCTATAAAGTTAAAAGGATAAATCACTCAGGTAAATCATAATCTTAACCAAAGCCTTGTGAAAGAAACAGAGTAGCAGACACCCGATGGACATCTGAGTCTTGTGTTCAAGACTAAAAACTTTTGACGGAAGATTATTGTGACATCTTTTACTGTGATGCAACAGCAAAAAAAACTGAAACTGGAAAAGTCACTACTGAAGGCTAAATTAAGGTTTATAAGGAAGTGCATTTTTTTTTTTTTACATTTATTTAATCAGGAGAAACCTCAATGAGATTAAGAATGTCATTTACAAGAGTATCCTGGCTGAGAGGGGTAGCAGCACAACAAAAAGTTACAGATATAAAACACAGTAATTACAAACACCGATCAACATGTCCTGAGTCACAGAGTAGAAAGTCATTAGTCAAATCAACAACCTGAAGCATCTTCCTCCAAAACCTTAAATCTGCTTTTAAAAAGATTGAAAGAAACCAGCTCCCCCAGACACAGATCATCCTGCAGGAGATGATGTACGCCGGAGCAGTGTACCTGAAACTCCTTTTCCCCATTTCAAGATATTTTTGATTTCAACAATAAGTTTTGTGACTGGGTTTCAGAGAGAAGACTGTGGCTTCCAGCACTTTTCACATGAATACAATTACACAAGTATGAGGGAAGCAGGTTGAGTATAGGACATGACAATGATTTGACTACGCTTAGACAATGCAGGCCAGCCGATTCAATCATACAGAGTACAATGATGAGTCAGTGCCCTGAGATTTGTTATGAATATCAACGCACCATAATACAGTATCTAAAGATTTTAGGCACTGAGACGATGCATTCATATACAAAACACCACCATCATCAATCAGGGACAGGATGTGTTTTGTTGAATTGAATGTGCCTAAGTTGATGCATTTGGAAATGAGTGAAAAGCACCTGTTTTCTTAATGCATTTAAGATAAGTAGCAGTGCTCCAGTTATAAATTCATGAATATAGCCACACAACCAAATCAAATTCACCTCTTACTGCTCTGTTTCCTTTTAGTAGTGCTGTTTTCATTCTATTTCTGATCTGTTTTGCTTCTTCTCTTGCAGGTGATTCCACCTAAAGGCTGGAAACCAAGGCGGTCTTATGATGATATCGATGACCTGGTTATTCCCGCTCCAATTCAGCAGGTGGTGACTGGCCAATCAGGACTGTTTACACAGTACAACATCCAGAAGAAGCCAATGACTGTACATGAGTTCCGCAAGACCTCCAACACGGACAAGTCAGTTTTATGCCACAGCTAGCTGATACATTGAATTTGTACCATGACTCTAAGATTATAAAGCAGACAACCTGTTACAATGGGGTATTTGCCAAACAAGCTTTCTCCTTGAACTTCATATGGTTTTCACTAACACCTCAAATGTCACACACTGTAGGTTCTGCCATCCGAGATATGTGGACTTTGACGAGCTGGAAAGAAAGTTTTGGAAGAACCTGACTTTTAACCCACCCCTCTATGGGGCTGATGTCAGTGGAACACTTTATGATCCAGTGAGTAGTGAAGACGTTTGAAAGTGCCACAGACTTCCAATGTAGTGCTCGTACAACATCAACATCTTCATTTTTTTAATGTCGTTTTGACCTATGACCTCTGCTGAATATGTCCTCTGCAGGATGTGACTGAGTGGAACATTGGCCATCTCAACACCATTCTTGACACGGTGGAAAGTGAAAGTGGGATTAAGATCAAAGGAGTCAACACACCTTACCTCTACTTTGGGATGTGGAAGAGTGCCTTTGCATGGCACACAGAGGATATGGATCTGTACAGCATCAACTACCTTCACTTTGGAGAGCCGAAGTCTTGGTACAGTCACTTTCATATGACACTGCTGGAAAGACAAGTATCACACATTCTTTTTCCTTAAAGGCTTTTTAGGGCGCACTCACAGTCTGCAATCAGTACCATGCCTAAGCACGCTTCACCCCTAAAGTCCAGTTCTTTTGACTTGTGTGAGTGCTTCAATCCGTACACTTCCTTGGCCCTTGCACGGGCCTTGCAGAGGTGTGCGTCAGCACGGTACAGTTCATGCACGAGCACAAGCATGGGTACACAATGTGGACAGCCTTCATTATTATTATTATCCAGTGTTCTGTCTGTATCTGACTCAAAATAAGACACACAGTTAGTAAAGTAGCTGTCATGTTCTCTGTGTGGTTTTCTGATGTGCAGACACGGACTCAACCACATGTTCCTTGTATGTTCTTTATTTTTTATTTTTGAGTTCACCTGTCGTGTAAACTTGGCACGATTCATAATGAAGTAAAGCCATGCATGTGTTGTAGTATGATGTTATGTACAAGAGATAACCGTCCTCAGGTCTGTTTAGTCCTGGAGCAGTGTGAGTGCTTAAAGGGACAACTTTGCAAAGTGTGAGTGCGCCCTTAGTGCTTCAAAATTTAGGTAGTGTCTGTTTATTCAAAAACTTCTTTATTGGCCTATGTTGATTCAATTTCCTTTTTCACATACACCTCTGGTCTCTTATTTGCAAGAACCAGCTGGCCCTGTTATCTTCATGTCTGCTCTGATTAATTTCTTCATCAGCAGCATGCTTGATAAAATACCTAACCCCCCCCCCCCCCAATACAACAACAAAAAGATAGTTACAACAGTGTAGTCTCACTTTCTGTTTAAATTGCTTTTTCTTAAATGTAATGTCTGTAATTGGCAAACGCAATTCAACAATAGTACCACGCGAGTCAGGAAAGGATATATTGTTGTTTTGATTTTTCATCCCACCTCAAATACTTGAGCCTCAGACAACACATAAGATTAGTGTAGATACAACCGGCTGAATCAGAAATATCACACTAAAATCATAATGTACTGATTTGAAGAGTAATGAGAAACAACATGCTCTTTATTAAAGAAGTTCACTACCATGTGGAAGAACGTAGAACTCCACCTACCAACTCTCAATGCTCTGTCATAAACAAGCAGTCCATATAACAAGCTGAACTACTGCCAGAATGATTATTATATTTGATGTCTGTATGTGTCGTCTCCAGGTATGTTGTGCCTCCAGAGCATGGGAAAAGACTGGAACGACTTGCAAAGGGTATGTAATGGTTTCTTGTAGAACTGGAAAAAATAGATGTTAATGTGTTATTACAGGCAGTTTAACACAGTCTGATTCAGATTCTTTCTAATCTGAATCGGATCATTCACACTATTGGGACTCAAATGTTAACCACATAGCAGTGTTTCCCATAAAAAAGTTTAGATATATATTTTTGTTGTCAATTCCAAGATTGCCATCAGCAGTATTATTATTATTATATTATTACAATTTACATGTTTTTGAATATACATACACAATCAGAAACAGTTACCTTCACTGATGTTTATAGTTTTCTGTATTTCCAGGTTTCTTCCCAGGAAATGCTCAGAGCTGTGAAGCTTTTCTGCGCCACAAGATGACTTTGATTTCTCCCTCAATTCTGAAAAAATATGGCATACCGTTTGAGAAGGTGACACACATTCATCTTTTGTTGCACTCGTAACATATAGTTGAAAAAAACACAACATACGCCGCAGACAAAAGAAATGCAGAACAATAAGGAAAAAACAATAAGTTAATCATTAAAGGGGACATATTATGAAAAATCCACTTTTACAGTGTTTTTGAACATATATTTGGGTAACCTGAGTGTCTACTGACCCACACAATGTGAAATAAATACATCAAGTCCTTTGTTTGTGGTCTGCATAAGTCTTGCAACACAGAGAAAATTGCTTCAATTGTTTCAAATTGTGACAAAAACAAAAATCCCCTCCCCTCCCCTGGCATCTCCACCCATGGACTCCACCCCCAGCCTAGAACAAAACTTTAGCACAGGTCTGCCATTTTTATTCTCACTACAGAGGAGTGATGTCTACCAGCTCATTGCATTTAAAGAGACACACACACCAAAACGGAGCGTTCTGAGAGAGCTGGTTTATACAGGGTCTCAAACCTCCTCTGGTGCTTGATTCATGTTATATTTTGATGAAATCACAGCACAGATGTTTTTTATTTAGACCACTGGGGACTGTTTGAAAAGGTGGAGAAGGGGGATAATATGTCCTCTTTAAAAGATATTGGAAGATTTCAAATGAAATAAGGTAACAGTTCTTGTAATTTTGTGTTGTTTTTATATTCAGGTAACTCAGGAGGCTGGGCAGTTTATTGTGACGTTCCCATTTGGCTATCATGCTGGTTTCAACCACGGATTCAACTGTGCCGAGTCAACAAACTTTGCCACCCAGCGTTGGATTGACTACGGCAAACAGGCCACACTGGTAAGCAAATAATCTCTTAAACCATTAGCTATTGTCTTACGAGTGACTGCAGTGTATCCTCTTGGATCAAGGACCAAACTTTAGGGACTCCTGGTGTAGCTGGATGATTTATGAGGGAAATCAAAGGCCAAACTTTCTTTCCTGCTCTGGTAATTGTTAAAATCACACCCATAGGTTTCAAAGTACTTCAACATCGTGTCAGATCTCCTGTGTGAGGGGAAGTAATTAGAATAATACAAATAAATACATGTGAGAGTAACACAGCTCTCGCTATCAACATAACCAGGGTCGTTGCATAGGACCAACGTTACGAGCCAATCAGAAGTAGAATATGGTGGGTTTTGGCAACACTGGAAATGTGGGATCTACCGACGCCATGTTAGCATGTTATGCTAGGCGGGCCGTCTATGATCGTCATTTAAGACCAATAAACTAGCATGTGATCAATCGATCCACTCCCATACCTGCTGCAGGACCTTACACTCTGCGGGTGACCAGAGAGAGATAAAGAGAGAAATGTCTTTGAAAGCAAAATGCAAAACTTCGAATGCCGTTCTTTTTCGTTTTGTGCAGCTGCTTGCTGCTGATGCGATTCTGCTCTCGCTTGGTTTTGCTTCCTCTTGATACCAATCCTCCCCACTCAAGACTCCCCAACTGAAACTTTCTATCCAGGTGTTCAGGGTAATTGGCAACTGATTCTGTGCAGCATACCAGCATGCTCTCTCGCTCTCGCTCCCATTTAAAAAAGAAAAAAAAAAAAAAAAGATCATGTCTTTACTGCATGTCCATGTGTCACAGAAATCAATCACATTCTGGATCATTTTAAAATTAGCCATTCTAGCAGGTGCCTAAAAAACAAAATAATGCCATTGTAAGTTATATATAAACTCGTAGTTTAAAGCTACAACTTTAGAAATTCATCAGGGCTGGTATGGTGTAGAAACACTACAAGTCTCCAGTCCACTCCTCCAGTGTTTGTAGTTTTTAATGAATGCATTCATCACTGTGTGAACTTCTGTCTGATGAACACTAAAAGTACAAAAGGCTAGATCATGATCATGAAATTGTTCTGAAAAGACACAAATTGCTGCAAATGTTTGGTGCTCATCATTTTCTGGAACCTTTCTAACCTTTCTAACCTTTCATGCATTTTCTAAACCTACCTCACCTGTCCCCCTTAAGTCACTATTTTATTGGGGGGGGGGGGGTCCTCCTCAATGATCCTCCTCAAAGGGACATGAGGATAAATGTTGGAGGACCAACAAATTGAAGAGCAGTAAATAAATATATATATATATATATATATATTTCAGACTCATGACTGACATTTTGGCCTGTGTTTTACAGTGTTCATGCCGCCAAGACATGGTCAAGATCTCCATGGATGTGTTTGTACGCAAATTTCAACCAGACCGTTACAAACTGTGGAAAGCAGGCAAAGACAACGCTCCCATTGACCACTCCAAACTCACACTGGAGGCGGGTCAGTTTCTAAAAGGCAAGACCAAGCCTTTAAAGCCTGTTCCTAATGAAGCTGGATCTGAGGAGCCAACGACCCCTGTCCAGGAGGACAAAAGGTCTGGTATTACTTTCTCTACTGTCTCTAAAGATATTCTCCAGTTATTCTCTTGTGAATCTGAATTGTAGGCCATCCAATGAATAGTGCGTGGCTTTTGAGGGAGCACAGAGGGAAGGGGGTGGGTGTACACGGAGCACTGTTTTCTTATTATATGCAAATGTAACGTACATAGCTTGCCCAATAAATTTAATTTGTTTACTTTGTCATTATACTTGTATAATAGTACAAGTTTTTGTACTTCAGATCAAGTGACATCTGACTAGAAATATTCATTATAATCTAGGTATGCATGGAGGCATCATAGGGATCCACAAGATCTGTAGCAGTTAAAAAAATATCTATTTTTTTATGTAAAACATTTTTGTTGGCTTTTTTGCCAGTTGAAGAGAGACAGGAAATGTTGGAAGGAGAGAGTGGGGGATGAAATGCAGCAACAGGCCCAGGTTGGGCTGGAACCTACAGGCCGCTGCAACGAGGATTACTGCCTCCATTAATGAGCCCCGTGACATATCTACTAAGCCATCTGGCATCCCTAAATTATTAGATTTAAGAAAAGAACACTGGGTATAAATGTATGTTCATCATATTTAGATTGTGATCACTCTATTCTTTAAAACAAACACCTGTATTTTAAAAACGTTTTAGTGAGTAAGTCACATACGTTGAGAGACATTGAGACGTCAACAATGGTGATGAAGTAAAGAAAGGTCCCTTAAGAGGATAGATTGGTTTTTTGAGTGGTTGTATGAGGTACTTATTGATAATATTACTTTAGATAACCGTCAGAAAAGACCCAGTAAGGAGAAGCCAGCCCATGTTTCTACATGGAAGTTATGTATCACTGCAGACAGGGCATGTTTACCGTGTACTTAAGCCACTTTAAAAAAGGCCCAAAAGAAAGTTCTGTTGTTAAAGTGAAGTGATGAAAATATCAACATGTAGTGAACAATTAAACTAAAATGTGGTATAAGATGAAGGACTTTTTAGTGGCTAAAGCAGGTGTTTCTTATGACTGCAGTGGTATAGCAGAGCTTCAGTTCTCCAAACAGGTTCTGAGCTGACTGTTATCTACTATACCTACTATTGATACATACCTCATAGCACTACACTTCAAAGATTTTATGTTGACGGTGTTTTCAGAAATGCACTCTACACTGAAACGTGTTGCTTTGTTGTCAGTGTTTCCCTTTGAGTCCTGCTGAATCTGTAATGTCTCCCATGCATTAGTTCAAAGACTCAAATTGGGAAGAAGCATCAGCTTGAAGCATTCAGAGCCTCTGAAGACTTCAAGCCTGAGCTCACCCTGAAGGAGACTGTAGAAGTGGAGCCAAAGACGGCCAAGTTGATTGATGAGGACTCTTCAACCAGAGTCCCAGACATCCCAGATAAAGGTACCACTCAGTGCGTAAAGATCGTCTTAGAAGCTTTTTACCTGAAATGTTGCATCTATGTATTATCTAACACAACATTGCACAGAAAATCGTGTACTTATCATACTACAGCATGGACAAAACTATGATATATATTCAGGAGAACCTTACACTAAAGAATAAGTCAAAGTCTCATCCTAGGCCAACGTCTAGCAATGCTTTCCTATGATCCATGATCGTTGCTATAATGTAGATAACTGTGCTTTTCTTACAGACACCGTAAGAGTCAAGCTGAAGCCTAAGCCGGACAAAGAGAAGAGGCTGCAGACTAAATCTCCGTTTAAAGTCAGAACAAACAAAAGTTTAAACAGACGGAGTCCTTCAAAAAAAACCAAGAACAATACGTCCAATTTGGATGTCTGTCCTTCAAAGACCTTTGATCCCCCAGATACCGCTGTATGCTCTGAGAAGGCGGGCGGCAGTGAGGAGCCGAAGCTTAGCAGCAGCTGCAGTCAGACACACAAATTATTTCAGAGGAGCCCTGCAGACGTCCTGCATGTGCACAGCTACGCCAAAGGAGACTATGGAGAGGGAGAATTCCCAACCAAGGACGAGAAGCCGACTGATGGCAGTGATTGTGAGACGGAGAAAGACAACCAATATATGTTCAAAAGAGTGAGTGGACATCGAGTTTGACATCATTTTATATGGTACTGCATATTTTAATGGATCGTAGCATAGTGTCTCTAAAGGCCCCGACACACCAGGAGATCGTTGGTCCTAGTTGGACTGTCGGTGAGCGGTCTTCGCCCTAGTTTTTGCATTGTGTCCGGCTCCGTCGCTACCCGTTTGCCTTTTGAATTGGCGTTGGGGGTCGGTGAGAGGAATCTCTCTGATTGGCTGTTTCATGTATCTCCACACAGGTTCAGGAAAGCCCCTTGAGCATGCCGCTGTAGTATCCATGTTTTCACTCATTAGTGCAGTTTCTCCTTATTTGTCGCCTCCGCCTCTCATTTCCTTTTTCCACAAAAAGACCAAGGACTGACAACACCAGCGCCATTTTCTACTTTTTATCAGATATTATTCTGGATTAGTAGGCTACCTGTAACACGAGTGGGGCGCGTCAGCGGTGTGAAAATGGTCTTCTTGTATCATAACAACGTACTACCGCCGCCTGCTGGCATGGATAGTTATTTCCTCTCACGCATGCTCAGAACGTACGTGGCCGTCAGCTGTAGTCTGTAGTGTGTTCTAGTGCAACTTTTTGGCCCATTTTAAAAGGTAGAATTTGTTCATTTGTTTGTGTATAGCAGAACCAAACACAGTGACATCCAAAGATCAAATTAATAAGAAACATACAGCCAAGAGTTGTAAGAGGATCTAAAAATAATAATAGATTGGAAAAACCACAAACAAACATTACAACAAATAGAATGAATCAATCTGCTTGGAAAGAAAGTATTCAGAATCAGAGTGGATAAATGATTTAGAAAAACCATGTTGTGTAACAGTAAGGTCAAACAAAAGAACACCCAGAGGGTAAGAGAGAATGATGCTGATTTAAGATAAGATATTTCTCTCTTGCAGGTAAAAGAGGCAGCTGGAGAAGTAGAGTCGAAACCTGATCTGGGGCAGCTTCCAGGCCACCATCCTCTCATAAAGGACGGCATGAGCGATGAAGGTGTGTCAACTATAACCATATGAGGGGGTTGTCTTACAATTTGAATAACTAGTGGTTAGGATCTTTAATATCCTCCCTCTGTGTTTGATTAACCTAAATGTTGACTTTATCCTTGTGTTTATGCATCAGAGACTCCACAAGAGGCTCTACCAGCAGACGAGGGTGGTGTGGAAGGGGAGAGCTGGGCCAAACCTCTGGCTCACCTGTGGCAGAGCGGACCTTCCAACATGAAGAAAGAGAGGGAGTACAACAAGCGCATGGGCTCCAAACCTCCATACTGCTGCATCTGCGCCCTGTTCTACACATACCAGCAGGTAATCTGCACCAGCACTGACTCCACTCTACATTCAAAACCAGTTCTCTACACTGTGCAGACGACCTTAGGGTATATTTTGATATTAGGTTTGTATTTATATCAAATGTGTTTTCCCCTCTAAATTAATTTTGTTTTTGCAACAAACAACTTTAATCTGTTCAATTTATCCACGCACAGACACAAACACCAGGAGTATGTCTCGCGTTTTGAAAAGTTAAACTTGATATTCTGTTATTTATAAAAGTTCAGCAGCAAACAGGCGTACATTAACAATATAAAACGAAGCCATGAGAAGCTTCAGTTTTGATTGGCGCAAGGTGCATTTACAAGAGGGGTGTGCAGACAGCGGACCGTCTCTCTCTTTCTCTGAAGCTGATGTGATTGGCGAGATAGGAGTTTTGCTGCACGGAGCGATGAGCGAGCCTGCACTCATTCGCGCTCTCTCTCTCTCTCTCTCTCTCTCTCGCTCTCTTGGTTCCCTTCCCTTCTCTTCTTGGTGCCATGAGCGCCTGCACTCACTGGCGCACGCTCTCTTCTCCGCTCGCCCTCGCTCTCTTGCACTCGCTCTCTCGCGCGCGCAGCAATATTTTGAATGAATGAAAATATTTATAAAAACAGGTCGGAAATATACTCGGGCAGCCATAAATTTACTTTCTGAAAAGTAAGATTTTCAACTTGAGCGGCCTCACCAAAAGGGTTGGCGATAAGCTGTTTCTCCAGGCGAACGCTCTTTACTCATTGGCACATCCATACGTGCATTGGCAAGGAGGTTTGCTGTATCTCAAACACAGTCACAGTCAGTTAAACAAGGGTAGCCAGACAGGGTGTTAGAAGGGCATCACACTGCCGCTACAAAATGTTTCCCGCCAAACTCTCAGAAACGGACTCAATGAGGGTGGCATGTGATTGTCTTCTAGTGGGACCTGTTCTAATGTGCAGGAGGATTTCTCCTTTGTATTCCTCGCATTCCTGTTGTCCACACTTCCCCTTCCATAGATTTGTCTGTGGCAAGATCGATACTCCAGAACAGTAACGTCACACTCCTTTAAAACATCAGAATTGGTAAATGCACTTGTTGCCCTGTGTTGTTCAATTACATTTTGGTTAGAAAAAAAATCACTGGCATGGGAGTAACCAGACCTCTGGGACCTCTGATTGCTCAGGACATGACACCTTGAAAGTTGAATGCTTTGTTTCATGGTAACACCTTCGATTGTATTCCTTTGCAATAGTGACAGTTTCTATTGCAATTGAGGAGCACAGGTATAGTATGTCTTACAGCTGGCATGATAAAGAAATATTTATAAGTCCATTCTTCATCTGCGGTTTTCTGTATCAACTTTGCGCTTCAGGCTCTTTGAGAGTACCATTTCGCCTGCCTGAGAATCAAAAGAAAAGACCTGTTTCCTGCATGTGTTTTCTACCAATCAAGACAGAATTCAAGTGACAAACCCATGGATGGAGAACTTGTCCCACAAATATGTAGCCAAAATATCCAAATTGGACCCTTGCAGTTCTATGAATGGAGAACATTTTAAGATTTAGCAAAAGTCAAAACTCATAAAAGAACATTTCTTGTTGCCAAGTGTAATGACCTCAATGTTGCTTTGTGCTGTGCGTGTCAGACTGAATGTTCAAACAGTCTAGGTAGTCCTGTCAAGGTGGCTGATGGGCGGATATGGACCAAACCACTGATCCCAGAGACGTGTTTCACCACCACCACAGAAGAGGACTCTGAGTGTGAGGAGCAACCTGTCACACCTCATCTTGAGGAAGACGGAACCAGTCTTCTCATCAGCTGCTCTCAGTGCAACGTCCGGGTCCACACCAGTCAGTACACACATTCTTTAACTCTGAGTATACAGTATATTAGACATGTGTCAATCAGCATGTATGTACCACATACTGGTACATCTTTTTTATTACTCAACACTGCTGGCCTTATAAATGTTTTCCTTTAAAATGTCCTTCACAATTGTCTTTTATTCATGAAATGTGTTACTATACATTTAAACAGCTGCATTTGATTGAAGATCTTCAACATCAATCAATCAATTTTAATTATATAGTACCAAATCATTCCAAAACTTATCTAATGAGAATTATTAAAGCAGCCTGATAATAAGAAATGAATCATTAATGAGGAAGCCAGCCTAGACTGGACTTGTTTTTTTTTTTGTTTTATTTTACATCGTTCTGATTTTTGCATTATTACGTTTAAAAAGGCTCTCTTAGAAATCTGTTGTACATGGGAGTTAAATGAACTATCCAGAATCCTCATGGTGGTACTGGATGTCAGGATGATGCAATCTAAAGCAGCTGATTACTTACCGGTACATAACATATCTCTTTGTATTTGGGAACAGTTACAATAACTTAAATTTTAAGTTGCTAAAAAATGCTGGTCATCCAGGACTTTGTCCTCAGCTCAAGGCTTATTTCAAGTTTAGAAGGACGTATCATTAAAGGCAGGGTTGTTCATTTTTTTTAAACTAGCATGATTTTGAAAGTAGCATTCCCTCGGTGCTCCGTCTATACCCCGCCCCTCCCCTCTGTGCTCCCTCTAAAGCCACGCCCCTCACTTACATACACAAGCGGCGTAGCTCCAGAAGCGGACCTCAGCTCATAGCTTGCATTGTGTAGAAACTACGTCGTCTCATGTCTCATTCATATACTGTAAGTAAACTCTCAGTATAAACTCGGTGACGCGCTTTGAGTGCGGACTAGTGCACACAAGAGGTAGAGAACAAGAGACAGGGAGGCGTGATTGGTTCACCGTGGCAGACATTGGTTGAAGTTTTTACAGGCTTACAACTGCTACAGATGACGGATTTTCTTTGTTCCTTTTTCAGAGAACATGAGTTATTAATTTCTGTCAGGACCTAAAGACAATTTCAACCAAAATCTTAAAAAGTGTATCTGTACAAAATTACCAACCCTGCCTTTAACATTAATTAAAATAACTGAATTAAAATAATGTAAAAAAGATTTAAACCAGTTTACTGCATGTGTATTCATTACTTTCGTCTCTGTAACAGATATCGGTATCAATTGTGCCAAACGTTGCATAATTAGACAGAAATCAACAGGAAAATGATCTCAGTAAAGAAGGTCATGAAGTCCTTTGTTTGAGGGCTATAGACATAAATGGTTCAATGGAGCTATGACTCTCTGTCAGCCATGCAGCCCTGAAAGGAAAATCATTTAACTGCATTGCCTGGGATGAGCACGACATGAGGGGAAAAAACCTTAATAAAGACATAAAAATGAGTCTTTCAGCCACTCCAGCAGTGTGTCTCCTGTGCTTTTATATTCCAGGCTGTTATGGTGTAGATCCAGCCAGTGTGAGTGAGGAGTGGAAATGTGCACGCTGCAGGGCTGGAGCCATGACTGAGGTCGGTGTACATTCTTTATTTATTTACATTATGTTTCAAAAACATCCTACAACTTCGAACAGGTCAAGTAATTAAAAGTCAAACGCAAAAACAATACATTGTCTTTTTTTGTATTCTAATATTGGTTAGTTGTGTCGGTAGTGTAGTAAACAGGATCTATTGTTATTTCCCATTGTTGCATATTCATGAAGTTATATCCTGAATCATGAAAGTAGTCCAGTACTCACAGACTGATATTCTTTTGAGAACGTGTATTATTTTGCACTGAGGCCTGGCAAACGTTAAAAGATTTTGAAAATGTGAGCGACTCCACACATAACAAATCATGACAGATTCAGTTCAGTTCTGTTCTTATATTGGGCAAGGAAACGACTTACTCAGCACACCACACACTCACCGATTCATTCACCTACAACCAGAGTCCCCACTATCACAACGTGTAATCTCCCACGGTCAAACCGCAATTTAAGAGCACACAAACTTGATGGTCAAGCTAAATGTGGCTAGCTGTTAGCTGGTACATCCAAAACATTTTGGTAAATCATTTTGGCTATTGTTCCCTTTCATGTGACAATTCACAGAGTCCACGCTTGGTCGCAGACTTGGGAGGTTAAAATCCCTCTTAACACTCCTCACACCACAGGAGAATCTGGCAAGATAATCTTTGGAACATCAGATAGTCGGGCCTTTGCTGACTTTGGTCTGAAGAGGGGAATCAGGCCCAAAATCTGCCTGATTATCTTGTATTGTGTACCCCGCTTAAGTCATCTCATCTTAGAACCAGAGGCTCACATGTACATTTAGAAATTCTGATAAAAGCCTTTTTGATGGTTTAAGTTAAGACAAGTGGCTTTACCGTCCTTGTTACCCCTGATTACATACTGAAATGGTTCCCATAGCACACCATAGACAGGAATGTAAATACAGTTCTCCGCCTCTTCTCTTCACTAATACTTCACAATGATACTCTCTTCCCTTGAGATAAGATGGGCAAAGGTCTGGGGTCTTTCAAGAATTTATAAACTATGGTACAAAAGTTATTTTCTTGTTTTTTCTGTAATGTGGATTAACATTCACAACATTGGCTTGACTTGTTCTTTGTGCAGAATTGCTGTTTGTGTTCACTGAGGGGTGGAGCACTGCAGAAAGCCAACAACAACAAGTAAGTCGATCCACAAAGTTACCAAGGTAGTGCATGTGCATATTTTTGGCAACTTTAATTTGATCATCTCAAACTGGAGGAAATGTTCAGTCAAAGTGGTAAAAGTAACGTTAAGCTGCTGTTCTTAATAGAAAAAGAGGTTGACTGCGGGATGCAGCCATTATGTCATATGTTAACAACGCCTCTGCTTGTGTCAATGTGCAGGTGGGTACATGTTCTGTGTGCCGTGGCTGTGTTGGAGGCACGCTTTGTCAACATCAGTGAAAGAAGTCCTGTGGACTTAAGTGGAATCCCTTTGCAGAGATTTAAACTGGTGAGTTCAAGGAAGCTGGCTGGAATGAAGAAGAAGCAGATTGCTCCTTATCGTGGTGGGAAGTACGATCACATTTCCCAAGCCAGTTAAAAATATTTCCAGTTGAATAACCATCATGTGTTCCTCTTAAACCAAAAAAAATGTTTACCTAAATGTTCAATGTGTGTAACAGTGTTGTAGTACTCGTGTCCAGGACTCGGACTCAAGTCTGACTCAAGTCCTAATTTTCATGACTCGTGACTTGATTTGTCTCGAGTATTTATTGCATTTGAACTTGGAAGATGGAGAGGAGGATTCTGACTTTTCACTGGTAAAGTCTGTGTCAATGTTTTGTTTTTTCTAATAAGACCCTAATAATTATTCAGTTCAGAGAAATGGCTGACGTGTGTGTTCACCTGCACACACGTTCACATGCTGCCTTTTACAGCCACAGTCACCATGGTCAGTATGGATTGGGCAAAAGGCGTCATAAAAATAAAAATTCTGATCGATAACGGGTTGTTAGAGGGTATTTTTGAGTTTAATGAAATCATGATGTACAGCAGTGAAACTTCAATTTTAATTTATATATCCAGACATGCAGACAGGATCGTTAAGAATCTTATGTTATCACTTTGAATAAACAGAATGGAAACAGTGGTCCTGCTTATACATCTTGAAAGTTATCAAGTGGAAAGTGAGGACACACCTAGCCATCTGTTCTGTAAAATCTTACACTTCAGTAGATGTAACAGGATGTGAAGTTCTAAAGTGGAAAGGTTTCAAATGCAGTCAAACTTGTACCAGTCAGTGTAGGTTTGCTTCACACGTATTCCAGCACGTTTCCGGAGCCCTGATGTCTGTGTTTAAATCTCCCAACAGAAATGTTACTACTGTAAGAAGAGGATGAAGAAAGCATCAGGCTGCTGTGTGCAGTGCTCTCATGGCCGCTGTCCAACTGCCTACCATCCCACCTGTGCCCAGGCTGCTCGAGTACTCATGCAGCCAGATGAATGGCCCTTTGTAGTCCATGTTACCTGCTGTAGACACAAAGGCCCCATTCAGATTGAAGTAAGGTGCTAGTGAGGATCTATGAACCTCTTTTTAAGGACTTGACTGTAAACGACTGATTCACTATTAACTCTTGATCATTGTTTTCATATAAATGACCTCGATGTCAGAGGATACAGAATCCAGTCATCATTATTAGATCATAAAAATGTGGTGTTCTGTATCTCCTCTGACAGCGCAATAAAGCAGCCATGCATGAGCTAACTGTGGGACAGAAGGTGATATGCAAGCACAAGAATGGCCGCTACTACCAGTGTGATGTGGTGCAGCTGTCTAAAGAGACGTTCTACGAGGTCAACTTTGACGACGGTTCCTTCAGCGACAATCTCTTCCCCGAGGACATCGTGGTACTTATACAATTGTTACTTTCAATTTTGAAATTAAAATTAAATCCACTTTAAAAAAAAATAAAAAATTGCCACTGTAACTTTTCCTAAATGTTGTGCTCATAATGGATTAACGATGTGTCTTTCTAATACATCATGGAGTAAGGTCTTTAACCTGCTCTTTGTAAAGAGTCTCGAGATAACACTTGTTATGAATTGGCGCTCTACAATTAAAGATTGATTGATTGATGTTGTAAAAAATGCATCCGCTTTGTTGTTTGCACGTGGATGCAAATCAAATGTTTAAAATAATGAACGTTCAGAAGTCTGCAATGTGTTTCTTTTTTGTTGTTGTTAGAATCGCAACTGTTGTCAGCTTGGACCCCCACCTCAGGGTGAAGTGGTTCAGGTGAGATGGACAGACGGCTTGGTCTATGGAGCCAAATTTGTGGCAGCTCATGCAGTACACATGTACCTGGTAAGAAATCTTTCATGTTTGTTATAATGAAGTGTTTGATCCCGTTTAGGGCACAAGTACAGCTAAACTGTAGTTTCTGATTGTATGAACTGTAGGTGGAGTTTGAGGATGGTTCACAGCTTACAGCTAAGAGAGACGATGTTTACACTCTGGATGAGGAGCTTCCTAAGAGAGTCAAATCCAGATTGGTAAGAGTACCCGGAACAACACACATGGACTGTTCATTTTACTGTCATTTTCATGAGTCTTACAGCCTGTCCTAACAGCACGCAGCGCGAGCATCAGCAACAAGATCAGCAGGATTCTATTGTTTTCCTATTACAGCCCCAAGATTCGCCGTTTTTACCCCGATGCTCCGTTTCTATTTTCCTCTCTGAAGCTCTGTCTAGGAACGAGGAGGGAGGGGGCCCTACTGACGCACTGATGCTCGCTTTTCTCACTCAACAGAGCTAGTTAGCTTGTTGTACAAAGAGGAGATAGTGGAGCATTAACACTATCCTCATCTGTTATTGGAATGTTGACCTTCGACTTGTTGACAAAGCCCCACACTTCAGTTTGTCCACCTTCAATACAACAGCACTCATTGTTTGTGAGGGGAAACTGAAATTCACAGAGCAAAGAATGATATATTTATCGGATGCAGTGTGGATAGACAGTCAGCGTGCGATCATGCGCGATGCGACGCGATATATAACGCTAGCGTGCTGTTAGGACACAGTGTAATAAATTCTGTATTGAAACTCTTCAGATGTGGCAGCGTTCTCATACAGTCTTGTGTTTGTCTCTGTAGTCCAAAGCCTCAGACATGAGATTTGATGGAATCTTTGAAGAGAAGGAAATCATCAAAGAATCAAAGAGGCAGAGAGTGATCAACTCCCGCTACAGAGGGGACTACATCGAGCCTGTGATTTACAGAGCAATCATGGAGTAACCCCTTCTGCGTCTCAGCGCACCACCAGCACTGACTGACTGGACTGTGACACATGAACCTTCACCAAGCAGCTTTCCACAACTAATTGTAGCTCCGGATGACTTTTTCTTAGGACTTTTTTCTCTTTTTTGTACTCAGTCATCTGTTTCTGTTAAGAGAGACTTGTGTTGACCTGGTTTGAATGCAAGCCGACGTATCTTAAATTTAGGACTCAACACCGTGCAGTAGGCTGACACTTAGCCAGGACAGGACACGGTAATGGGAGGCTACATGAAATAAGAATCTGTACGCATTAGTAGCATTCTGACGCTTAAATAGAAATTGACGGTGAAGCACCTTGAAGAAAACGAGGTTGAGCTCACGTTAAAAGAACATGAGTGGCCTTATGTAAAGTAAATGTTTTGATTAATTTATACCCTCGTATTTAGAGTTTGTTATTTTTTTTTATATTGCCGAGTCATGCTGAGAATAACTCATACTGCAATTCATCCTTTTACTCCTGACCCCTCCACACTCTTATCTCGTTACCAGTGTGTGACCGATGCTCACTCTCATGATCAATCTATCAATTATCTTCTCAACCAAACCACTAAATGATTTCTATTTATCTTATTGGAAATTAAGAAGAACAATGCTGATGACAATTCTCCTAATCTTAAAGTGTTTTTTTATGACCAATGTTTAGAGTCAAGATTCACATTGGAGAAGCTCAACAAGTAATCAAAAAGTGACTTTTACACTGAGGTTGATATATTTTTTGTTCCTTTATCAACATGATATTTCACATGAATGTATGGCCTTTGTTCCCAGTCATGCTTGGTATTCTTTATTCAACAATAATATAAAGTTAAACCTTTAATTCCATGAATAACTTCTTGCTTGCTCACCAACATTGTGTACACTTTGTCCGTTTTGTTCACTGTGTGTTACATTTTGTACTTTGCAACATCGGTGATGAGCACAGCTGCAAGCACCGAGAAAAAAATCTCAAAAAATGACATTTAAAAATACTCAGACCTGCACAAATCCAAAAGTACCACTTCGGAAAAAACCCAGTAAACAAACAGAAAATGTAAAATTGTAGAGTGCAGAGATTTAAGCGGATAATAAAGCCAGAGCCTTTTAAACCAGCAGAAATCCGTTTAAAAACATAGCCGCTTGTCTCTGATGGCCTTGTTTCATGAGTTTTTATTCAAATCACGATTGGCTTTCAAGACAACTTGATGAAAATCATCTAAACATGTAATAAGGAATAATCTGAACAGAGAGGAGTATACACGTCTGGATCATCTTTTTTAGTTGCTGCCTCGGGGGAGGCTCTTCTACATATTTCTGTAGATATTTATATAAAGCCAACCCAGATTTGTAGTGAGCAGACACAGACAGGAAGTTCAAGGTTGATGTGCAATTTTAGACTTTTTGAAACTTTTTAACAAGAAACTCCAAATAGATAAATAATAATATATGGATGAATTATTTGTTGAAGTATTTAAAAAAAAAAAAAAGCCATTTAACTAATTATACCTCGTCTTAAAAGTAGAGATGCACCGATCCACTTTTTTTCAGTTCCGATCCGATTCTGATATGTACCGATAACAATATTTGTATTTTCATAACTCACAACTCATATTGTTGTTGTTGGTATGATGTGTAAGGCTACACAAAGCTGTAGTAAACCTGGCATTGTGATGGCTTCACAAACAGGAAGCAGAACAGCCGTCAGGTTTTCAAATGAAACATTTTACAACCTGAAACATTTTACAACCTGACAATTGTACATTCGATCAAATAGAAGGAGCTGTTCCATCTCGTGTGAACGTTGTCATGGAGACGATTGGTGGGCACTGCTTACAGGTCAGTCTTCAGATTGAGACTGAGAAGGTTTAAAGGGCCCAAATATCTTTCTTGACCAGTGACATGGATTGGATATTCGATATGGATTGGATCCGATATTCGATACGTAAATTCTGTCGATATCGGACGCAGATGGGATCGGTCCCATCTCTACTTTAAATGAAACTTAAAACTTAATATAGCTTTGCCATAACAACCTTTTTCGACCAGCCTATATATTGGAGTACTTCTGGAAAGTCGTCGTTGCGTTACAGGATCGAGTGTTAGAGGCTGATATGCATTTTCTATTTTTTCTACAATTTGTATTTCCAGGTTCTTTTTTTCAGAAACGACTCTTGTTTTGAAGACATTATTCAGTTGTCTCGCCACTCTTGTATTCAGTTGTGCATTTCATTTTTAGAAGTGCAGCTTGCATGACGAGTTAAATAGTATTAAGTGTTTGCTATTTGTTTGAAATCTGTTGAAAATATTCTTTGTTCCCCTCTAACCTTTCACATGGAGTGTGCATGTTCTCAAAGCCCATTAATCATAATGCACTTTTAACAACTTCATATTGCCTTCATGATGTCATCATTTGCCTGCAACTTTTTTAATTGTGATGGTGCAAGACTGCAAAGAAGGGAATATACATTTTGTAGTTGTTGGTGATGAAAGTCCTGCTTTAATGAGTCAGTCGAGAATATTTTTATGTTTTTAAAGTTTGAATACAGTTGTACATTGAGTTAGTGGGATTTTTCTATTCCATTATGTTGAATTGTTTTATAAAACATGTTCTATGTGTATTTTTACAGACACCTGTACATTTCCAATGTTATAGTCTGAAAGCTTCTCCCTGGACGAACTCTCCATCTTTCTTATGTCATCGCTGCGAGAAGAAAATAATTCAAGCATTTCATGTTTGTTTTTTGAGTCCAGAGATTTGTCTCAGCGCTTTTTGTTTGTCTTCATTATACATCAACTAAGTTTTATTAAAAAAATAATTTTCTTGTCAAAAGTTATTTTGTACACAAGGTATGCTTTCTGGTGGTTTTAGATATTGTAATGGAAGAGAGGCAGCGGCTGTGGCTCAGTGGTAGCGTCGTCGTCTCTAAATCAGAAGGTTCAGGGATTTATCCCCAACTCCTGCAGTTACATGTCCCATGTATTCCTGGGCAAGACATTTAACCCCGGATGAATGGTACGAGTTACATCTGCTGGTCACTGTACATAGCAACCTCATCAGTGTGTGAATGGGTATGTGTGACCTGCTGTGTAAGAAGTCTGAAGTCTAGAAAGGACTATACAAGCTCAAGTCCATAAAAGCTCCCGTGAGGGGGCTAAACTTCATCTTTTTGTTTCATGCTATCAAATTAATATTCTGCCTCCTTACAACGGGGTCACACGTTTAATTGCCTTCATGTATCACTAGCTGATCCTTGTGTTGCTGTATGTAGGCGTCAAACTTTAAACATCTCCTTATTGAGTCTATGAAGAAATGCTTCTTTTTTACTCCGTGGCATACATTATGTGACCGGCTTTGCATTTGGGCGACCTGTCGCATAATCTAAAAAACTCATTAGCCTATTTAAAGATACAGAAAAGAGAGAGAGTATGGCAGTAATGGAAGTTTTTACACTAACCATTATTTATGCCTGGGGCCCCAACACTGTCTATTGTTCTGAAACATTAGCTTCAGATTACTGGGATCTCAAAATACTACATCCTGATCTTGTAATAGTGAGATCAGGATCTTGTAATTATGAGATCTTTTCTCATAATTACGAGGTCTCGTTATTATGAGGAAGATTTTGTAATTCTGAAAAAATATATTATCTTTTCCACGCAACTATATTAAAAAATACAGCGTGATTAACACGGGAACTTGTACAAATGTATAATTTCAAAGTGAGCTTCATGAAATAAAATTCATTCATGATAGCAGCATGAGTTGTGTCTACATTATTTTTAGTAAGGTAAATGATTTTTTGTCATTTAAGATATCAAATATCATAACTTTAAAGTATAAATGAGGAATTGTTTTTTCTCTCTGTCATTTGTTCAAATGGGTTTTGACTTATGGGCCTGGGCCCACCGAACAACACCATTATACAAACTGTTATATCATGTGTGAAGTCTCAATTTGTCAGAACAGGCCTTTTACATATAAGCATATAGGTTGTTAAATGAGTGTGTTACACGTTACTATAACACCACTACTAAACTCCTCAAAAAAAGTTTGGAAGCGTTATTTCGGTCAATTATTTTGCCCCTTAAAAATATTTATTGGTGTTTTAGTATATATCGTTGGAAAGCCTGATTAGTCACCTTTACAACGAGGTATAACTTGTAAGGATCGTGCATTCGTGGAATGAGAAACACAGCTAAACGTGTGGGTCGTGCCAAAAAAAACTTGGCCAAAAAGTTGCACTAGAACACACTGCAAAGACTGCAGCCGACGGCCAACCACCACGTACGTTCTGCACATGGCTGAGAGGAAATAACTCTCCATGCCAGCAGGCGGCAGTAGTCTGTAATTGTCATTCCAAAAAGGGGAAACCGGGAGAGGACGAAGAACGCGGATAAATAAACCATTGTTGTGATACGAGAAGACAATTTTCTCTCTGCTGTCACTCAACACTCGTGATATAGGCCTAGGTACTTCTAATGGAGAATAATGTCTGATAAACAGTTAATGATGGAACTGACATTGGTCTTTTATTAGTGGAACAAGAATAGAAGAGGCGCTTCTGTATTTCTTCTCATGCACTGGCTGTCCTGTTTCGCTTAGCAGAACAGCCAATCAAAGAGATTCCTACTGCCAACTGGGCTGGCGATCAGCTCTTGAGTCTGTTGCCTTCAGAGATCTAATCGGTAAATTACCAACAAATTGAAAATCACTACAGTGTTATTTGAAATGTTCTACTACCTGAACAACTCTAAATCATGAGAACATTAATCTGAGTGTTGAAGCAAAAAAAGTAACTACTTTCCCAAGTAATTAGTTACTTTTATAATAAAGTAACTAACAAAAAGTCAGTTACTTGTTGTTAGTAACTGTAAATAGTTACTAATTTTCAGTAACATGCCCAATGTTATGTTAGGGAGGTTTGACTACCGAACAGTGCTGATTATAGAGTCTGGTGGGGCCCTAGGCAAAAATCTATTTGGGTGTCATCCAACAAACGTTCATCACCATTATGTCTGCCAGTGTCTCGAGGCATACTCCTCTTCCTCCTTTTTCTGTTTCTTTGTATTCCTCTTCATTTTTCTTTGTTGACTTTCATTGACAAACTTTGGTTTTCAGAGTAATAATACATGCAAGGCACAGGATCTAACTAAAAACAAAAATGAGGCAACATTTTCCAAGCATTTTCTTGTTTTTTGAGTTGGGAAAACCTAAAAATGTGGCTTTTACTGTATGTGACTAAATAAAGTAGAGTCTACAAAAATCAGCAAATAAATTGAGTTTAAGCAAAAAAGATGGCACAATGACAACATCCAACTCAATTGAAATAAGTAACATTAAATAACAGATTTAAAAAATATTGACATGGTAATCAATTTCAGTGTTTTTAAACTAATTGTTTCTTTCTATTTTAAAAGTGTACCAAACTTCAAATAATTGGTAAGCATCAAAATACATTAGGAAATATGGAAAAGAGTAGTTGTCTGTTCCCAACGTTTATTTAACAGTAATGCTGCCATGTAAAAAAAATTTATTTTTACATGATATCTTGTTAGAACATATAGAGCAGGGTTGACCAAAGTGGGGCCAGCGCGCCAGACGTTTTCCGCCATAAGGTCCGATTGGGCCCGTCTGATGTTTCTTGCAAAAACAATGTAATCAAATGAATCCAAAAGAAATAAAAATCTAATGTAAATCCAGGTAGAAAGGTAGAGCTGGGTGTCATCAGCATAGCAATGGAACTGAATGTTAATTTACAGAATATATGGAACTGAGAATGGAGATAGATGATGAACAGGAGGGGGCCGAAGACAGAACCATGAGGAACACTGGTAGTGACTGGAAATGGCTGGGATTTGAAGGTTTATAGTTGAATGAACTGTGCGACCAGAGAGCTAGGATGTTTACCAGTACAAGGGTGTCAGGTTATTTTCGGACAAATGAGTATGAACTTTACATTCAACTGTTTTATTAAGAATTTTAGATAGGAAATGTAGATTAGAGATAGGACGAAAGTTATTGAAAGAGTCAAAAGGAAAGTACTGAAGAGATTTATTTGACATCACAGATTTTCTTGCCGTTATGGACAGTTAAACTCAAGTACCCTTGGATAAAAAAATGTATCTCTGACCTGGTGTTTCTGGTTGACATCACAGACCTGCTCAACGTGTTCAGCTTCAGGGAAAGGACCAAATCTTCACACAACCGTTTGACCACGTTTTAGTCTTCAGGCTGAAACTTCTGTCGATATCTGTAAATGGTAAATGGACTTCAGCTAGTAAAGGGCTTTTCTAGACTTCTGACTACTCAAAGCGAATTTAGACTGCATGTAAAACCTACACACTCCATCATGTCCATCAGAAGTTGCTTATCCCATTCATACACATGCATACACTGCCGTCGAAGCAGCAGGAGCAATTCAGGGTTAAATGTCTTGACATACTGTATCTTTGACAGTCTTTCCACTAATACTAACTTTAAGAACTGTATGAATTAAACACACAAAGAACTTACTCGTATTATTGACGCACAAATCAAACGCTTACCAAACCGATAAATATTATTAATTGACTGCAAAACTTGTACTCCTGATGCTGACTTTCTCTCTCCCTGCAGCTTCACCACATGTGCTCCTCTGTCTCTAATTATCCTTAGACTGGAGATGTTATTCTTAAAGGAACAGGGGCCTTTTTTACAGTGAACATGCCTTACACAGATTGGTTTAACTGTTATTTAAACCCAGCAATAACAATATATGAAGCATACAAGTAAATATCTCTAAAGTAAACATGCATTTAACGGCTACATCTAACCTAAAAGTATATTGGATACATTTAGCAAACTGACATTCAAAGTTAAACATACCAACTTTTATTGAAATGTTACAAACCAATGATTTCAACTTCTAAAACTACTACAGTTACTGGGATGGTTTGATTTTGTATCCAAAGACTGTTCGAAGCTCTTTACTCTTGAACAATTACATATGGAAACTATTTTGTATTGTGGCCACAATATGGCTTTCAAACTAAAAGAGACTCCTTTTGACAATAAATAACACTTTGTCATGTTCTATGTCTACAATAAGAAGAACATTGAAAACATTTAAATTGTCTAGTTGTAAGGAATTCCTTTTCATTGTCCATTTGTGAATCCGATCGTCGTTTGATAAAGATATATAGAATTACATGAGAACGTTTATTTGAGAAATCAGAGCACTGATAGTGTTTGAGTTACTTTTGAAAAAAAGGAGCGGAGTCTTGGGGGGACAGTGTCATGGGTCGCAACATGACCTCAAAGAGAATCTGAAGACACAATCATTAAAAACATTCGACCTTTAGAGGATGTCTTTCTTAATCCTCTTTGGGAGTTCACACTATAATAGTGCTTTCACACTTGCAGAAATCTCCTGAATAATTTCTGATATTTCCAGGAGGAGCTGTATATGTGAACACAAAATGTTTCACTCAGACTTAACTTCAGAGTTTCTTCTGCCAGACCCCTAGTATTTTTTCTGCAGCAAGTCCGAGTGAGCTGATGTGAGAACGCCGCAGGATATTCTCTGGAGAATTCACCTCAAGCCAATAGGAGGGGGAGTGGCGTTTATATACTGTGACTGCTGCACGGTGGATAGACTGTATACATCTGCGCGCATGTAATTAAACCACTCTTTTGTTGATATTGTGATTCCGTTGAACTACTCATAGCATTGATATAAAGGCAAATATTGTCATTAGAGAGTCGTGTCACTTCGGCCGCTACTTTTTTCTGTCACGTCTTACTTCCTCGTCTGACAGAGATAGTCTCCCGCTGTGAGGAGTATATGTGGACAGAAAGGTCAGGAGAATCTCTGGAGCAGTCATCCTGTAATTATCTAGATACTTTCTATTTGTAAACAGCTATGATTTCCACAAGAGTTGATGTTTAATTTCTTTGAGAAAACTCTTAAAGGAAGGGGGGGCTACATTAGGTGTCCAACGAGTTCGATGGTCTGTGAGATATGACTAAAGGGGTTTCTCTTTGGTGAGTCGCAGGGAGGAGGTGGTCAGAAGAGGAGATAAGGTTTATGTCTCCTTTAAGTTCTAATATTACATCTTTCAGTGAAGTCATCTCGGTTTATTACAGAATGCAGTTTGAACTTTGAAAAAAAAACCTCAGATTAATAATTAAACTCTGTTAGCCTGCACTGACTAACTCACCTCCGCCTGGTTAATAAGCAGAGGATCATAGTCACTGGTGCTCATGCAGGTGAAAGTCAGATGACTTAGTGTCTTTGAGAATTCAACAAGATCTAGAAGATTGGAATCAACATGTCTACGAGTTTCCCCACAGGTCTGGACTGTCTTTCACTCTGTTTTATAATTCATTTTTACACTTCAACAAACATGTTGTTTATTATCATGTCAGAAGCAGATTTTAGAAAGTGTTGGAGGAAATAGTGGGAAGGTGAGGTGAGGTTTATAAATGAAAATGTAAACTTTTACAACAGCTTTTAAGGAAGTGATTACACAGCTCTTATCAGAACTAGCCATTTCAAAGTGTCTGTTATTTTTCACAACAGCAGAGGTCTGCATCATTTTATGATTTAGATTTACTTCGAAGACCTTTTGCTCAAATCTAATGACCCAAAGGCAACTGGACATGCAGCTCATGCTTTTCCCCAAAGCATAGTTAACTGTAATGCTATAATTGATTTGGAAAAGAATCAATTTGCTAAATGTTGTTATTCTGACAGGGTGGTCGCCATTAGAGGTGAATAGCAGCTTGCCAAGTCAGAAGTAAAGTTGACATGATAAAAGAGGCATTCAATAAGTGAAATGCTTCATGTAAATTTTTCAATTTCCAGTTTGTATAAAATTAATGTATTTGTTGAGTTACAAAATGTCCTAACAGCACGCAACGCTAGTGTCAGCGACAAAATCACTCGCTCTTTCTCACTCAACAGAGCTTGTTAGCTTGTTGTACAAAGGGGAGAAAACGGTGCTTTAATAGTATCCAGATGTGTGATTGAAATGTTGAGCTTTGACTTGTGTCAACAACACGATTTATTGATGAGCCTTTGAGTGTTGTGATTTGAGTCAACAGCTCTGCTCAGAACAGGCTGTTTCTGTGTCTGTAGCTTTAAATGCAAATGAGCTGTGTCTGACCACGCCCCTCTCTGAAGGAGATGTGGCTTCTTTCTCGCACCACTGAGGGTGTGAAGCTCAAGTGCTGTTATCGTGGATTATGTTCCAGGTTTAAGACATGTTAAGATTGCAAGTACACAAGTATAAATTTGGAAACACAACGGGCCATATTATAAGTTAAAATACATATTTAATAACCTGTTAGCGAGTGCTTTTGTTGGAATTTAGCCAAACAAACCCTCATCAGCCTGCATCCTTAAAGCGAAAAGGAGCAGTGCTTGTCTACTGAAACCGTACCTGTTACCTGCATTTATTCCCATGTCAGATCAGGAGCCCATTCAGATCCGTAAATAGCCTTCTAGACCCAACCCATGATTAAACATAAAGGAAATGCAGTCCCTAACTTTATGGCATGTGTCCACCATGTGTTTTTTATTGAGGAGAAAAGTACTGGCTGAGTGCTCAGAGAGCTTGGATGAAGCACATGTGGGCTGAGAACATGCAAGATATGGAGCCAGTTGCTGAGAGAAATTAGTAATTCATGATTTTATGAAAATAACCTTTATGCTGAAAAAAACAGGTGAAACTTTTGAAAAGATTTGGGCTCCTTTCAACCGACTGTTGGATAACGTTGATGTGTCAGATATGTTGCAAATTGACAACAATGAGAATCCATGAGAGATTTGGTTAACAGGCACACTTATTAGGCATACTTTGTAACTATGTCCAAACTTAAGTCTAACCTTTATATGATGCCCTGACAAAGGCAGAATTATTTTTGACTATTGTACCTTTTTGTGTTGGTGAAAAATATTTTTGTTTTTAAAAGAGTAATGTTTCATTTTATAATCTGCATGTAGGCTACAGCTCCCCGGGGTCCACCACAGCGACACCCTCCAACACTAATTTCAGACTGGATGTTGCTGACATTGCTGTGATTGTGGTCTACTTCATCCTTGTCATGGTGGTTGGAATCTGGGTAAGTACACTCACACCTTATCTCTTTTTTTTTTTTAAGATTTATTTTTTGGGGCTTTTTTGTGCCTTTAATGCAGAGAGAGGACAGTAGATAGAGTTGGAAACCAGGGAGAGAGAGCAGGGAATGACATGCGGAAAGAGGCCACGGGTGGAAGTGAACCCAAGGCCTACTGCTTGAAATGAGAGTCTCAACACATGGGCCCTAACCATTGCGCCACCAGCGCGCCCTTATCTCTTTACTTATTATAAAACTATCTGATGACTGAATACATTATCAATTCAATTATGAGTCCATAAATGTCAGACTGTAATTACAGTATAGTGCTGTACTAGTCTTCTTAGAGCTTTCATACTACATGTCACATTCATACATACCTTTCAACACTAAAATAAACAAATTATCAAAATTATAAAACAAAATGTTTTTTCTGTCATGTTGAGGTTACAGCCTTAACTGTCTACCGTTAAATCAACATTGTAGACCGTTGATAAAACATCATTTATTTCCTTTCTTGTTTCACCACTTGTGTTTTATATAAATATTCTGATCTATCTCTGGGTCATAGCTTGTTAGATCCATAGACTGTAAATATTAATGGAAGAAGCCTGAGTGATGTCAGCCATCTGTTCCTGAAGGGGGCTCTGGAGGCTCATCAGCAGCAGTCACCATGTTGAATCCTGACTCAGTCTAACTTTCAATCAACCTAACAACAGGCTGAGAGCTGGAGCGGGTTTTAAGCCTCTGATGTGCCAGTGACAGTAACTAATCAGACCTATTTATTTTTTTAGTACCAGGCCGTAAACATGTTTATTTATGCTGTAAAAACAGCTTTTTTGCCTGTTGTGTGTATGTGACTTCCAGTGTTCCTGCAGTCAGCCTCGACAAACTCCAGGATTTTGCACATCTGTATTGGCTTCATTTTTCAAGACCTGAGGTTGCCCCTTGGTTAGATTTATCAGATGTGGCAATATAGACTTTGTTTTGAATGTTCTGCTGAAATGAAGGGTTGTAAGTTTACTGCTGTCTGAATCTTCCTTTCAATCTCATTTTCTGTCCTGTAGTCATCAGTACGAGCCAATCGCAGTACAGTGGGTGGTTACTTCTTAGCTGGCCGTTCAATGACTTGGTGGCCTGTAAGTATCAATCTGTTCAAGGTCATGTTTTTTTTATTCAGTATTAGAGGCCTATGTGATATGCTGTATGGCTTTAAATCAAACTGTATTATTTCTTCTTTCTATTACCCTAGTCTTGTAACATTAGCTGCTGTGGCTCAGTTGGTAGAGTTGGTCGTCTCTCAACCGGAAGGTCAGGGGGTCGATCCCCAGCTCCTGCAGCAACATGTCTGATGTGTCCTTGGGCAAGACACTTAACCCTGAATTTCTCCTGCTTCTTCCAAGTCTTGTAACATTAGCTGCTGTGGCTCAGTTGGTAGAGTTGGTCGTCTCTCAACCGGAAGGTCAGGGGGTCGATCCCCAGCTCCTGCAGCAACATGTCTGATGTGTCCTTGGGCAAGACACTTAACCCTGAATTTCTCCTGCTTCTTCCATGTGTATGAATGGGATTAGTGACTTCTGATGGTCACTTTACACAGCAGCCTCTACCATCAGTGTGTGAAAGTGTAGGTGTGACCTGCAGTGTAAAAGCACACACTGATTTAATCATGGGAAGCAATTTGGGTTACAATATTTTGCCCAAGAACATTAGAAAAAATGCAATTTATGGCTAAAATACTTGTCCACTGTTTAGGATTTTTGTCAATTGACACTTTTTTTGTAATTTAATCAATAAAACGTATAGAAAGCTTTTTTGTAATTGTGTATTATCTGTATATGTTTATAGATTGGAGCCTCGTTGATGTCTAGTAATGTTGGCAGTGGATTATTTATTGGTCTAGCAGGAACAGGAGCAGCTGGAGGCATCGCTGTCGGGGGATTTGAATGGAATGTAAGAAACACAGTTTTTGGAATGATAGATTATAAACATTAATCAAGTATTTAGTGGTATGTTTACTTAATTGACAAATACATCAGAGTTCAAATCTAAAATACATTTTTGTGATTGTAATTGAAACAATCACAACCATATTTATATGTGTGATTTATGTCGTGTTTGCACACGACACTGATGTTGCTACTAAGATAATGTCCAAATAGTGCATGGTTACTTTTACTTAGTAAATAGGGAAAATCCATTTCATTTAAAAGTCTGATGGGAAACACTCACATCGATATTGTGATGGATACAGTTCATTCCCTGCTTTTCAGGCCACTCATAGCTCTATAGGCTTGCTCATGTTGTAATTCTAGCACCAGCAGGTAAGGTCCTTCAATTGACTTGCCTTTAAACGTTACTTGTAATAAGGCCCTCCAAAGTCACACTGTCATCAAACCCCTATTAATACAATTCTACAATTCACTTAGCAGACGCTAATATTAGAGAGACAGACTGGGGAAAGGGGATTGAGGAATTTCTTATGATCCTTTGTTCACTACATCTGTCCATAATGACTAGAAATGAACTGTCCATTTACAGGCATGTTAACTAACTGTTGCTATGACTTGACTGTGTGTGTCTGTGAAGGCAGCTTGGGTTCTTGTGGCTCTTGGCTGGATCTTTATCCCCGTCTACATCTCTGCTGGCGTGGTTACCATGCCTGAATACCTTGCCAAACGCTTTGGAGGCACGAGGATACGTATCTACATGTCGGTTTTGTCACTCATCCTCTACATCTTCACAAAAATATCTGTAAGACACATGTAACCTGGCACTCTTTTGTTTAAGGTTACTTACTACTGTACAATTAAGACATAATTCAGTAAACAGTAGAAACATTTGTGTGTGTGTGTGTGTGTGTCCCAGACAGATATCTTTTCAGGGGCGTTGTTCATCCAGGTCTCTTTGGGCTGGGATCTCTATCTATCAACTGCCATACTGCTGCTCGTCACTGCTGCCTACACTGTGGCAGGTATGCACGTATACAGCCAGACGAAAAAACACACACATCTAATTCCATTGGAAGATTTTTAAGGCAGGAGTTGTCATTTTTAATCCTTGTCACACAGCTGTGTTAAATACTTGATTTTGATTGACCAATTACTCATAGCACCAGTCTGCCAGATCATTGGTATAAATAACAGTTACTATGAAAAACCAAGAGTTGCTTGGGACACGGCTGTCTGGCTGATGAATTGTTATTTTATCAATCCACAGAAAGACGATTTTACATGATCTGTTTAATTTGGTTTTAATTGTAATTGATATATTTTCCACTCAAGGTATTTGGTAGATTCATGAAGTTACTTCAGGCTTGCCTATTGCTTTGATTATATCATGAATATGTTCTATCAACCGGGAATCACCAAAGAAATCAAAAACTCACCGGGTGATTCTGAGGTCTGGAGGCAGGATGCCATTAAAAAACAGTTTTATACAAAACTATCAAGTTTTCAAATGACCAGAGCATGAGTCAGTGTTTTGGAGTGATGAATTGAATTATTGACATTTAGGCAGATAAAATAAAGGAATTTAGACATGTTCATGATAGTGACAAGATTAATAATCAGTTCACCTTCGGAGGAACAACATCTCTTACAAACATACACAAAAAATGTGAACTATATTGAATTTAAAACTGTATAATAACAAGATTGTAGTAACAAGTGATGAACATGAGAAAGGGATGTAAGAAAAAAACAATTCTCTAGGGTGAGGTACTAATGTCATTTTGGTCCTTTTTCCTGCAACTTACTGAAGACCTGATTAACTAAGACTCTTAAAAGCTCCATGAATGTGTTCCGTGGCTCCTGCTGTCCATTGCCTTTTAATGGTAAAACAAACCTACACATCAGTGAGATTGAAAGTTGCCTTGGTCCACTATCTGCTAACATCACAGCCACTGCAAGAAAATGTAAGAGTCATTTTTGATTCAGACCTCATCTCACACACATCAGATCTGTTGCCAAAGTCATATCAATTCTGCCACCTTCAGACCTGGAAAAGAAGTTATTAATTCACTGAACTTTTCTAGTCTGGACTACTACAACTCCCTCCTTCCCGGTGTCAATCATAAATTACACTCCAACTTGTCCAGAGCGTAGCAGCTAGGCTTCTCACTGGTTTTAACAGAAAACATCACATCACTTCTATCCTGTCACTTTTAGAATGGATTTTAAGATTTTGAGCTGATCACTTTTAAAGCTTGTCTTGGTCTCGCCCCAAATTGCATTTCTGAAATGCTGACCCCCTTATGAGCCATCTCATGACATTAGACCCTCAGGTGGGGCCCTTCTTGTCATTCCAAATTTGAGGCTTAAATCTAAAGGTGATAGTGCTTTTGCTCAGGGCTCCTTGATTTAAGAACGACCTCCCTGAGGAGATAAGGTAGAATCAGTAACTCCTTTTAAATCACTTCTTAAAACTCACTTTTACAGACTCTCCTTTTAAAAATTATTTTTATTTAGATTTTTCCTTTATTCATGTTCTCGCTCTTAATTCTTTTGATCCATTCCGAGTCCTTTATCATTTACTCGTCTGTTTTTACCTTTGTTTTCTTTTAATGTTCTGTGATGTGATGTCGTCTTCTCATAATCCTCTTTTAATTGTCTCGTGATCATTAATGCTAGTGTCATACTGCTTTTATTAAGCATTCAATTGTATTTTTTCGACCTTTGTTGTTTGTTCTTATGCATTTATTCTTGCTGACCTTTTGCTTTCATTTTGTGATTGCCTTTACTTTGCATTTTGTAGACACTGGTTGGTCTGAGTACTGATGCTTATTCTGTTACTGAGTTCTGCCTTTGCTTTGCCTGTCAAAGCACTTTGTAATCCTCTGTTTTTTTAAAGGTTTTATCACTGCTCTTATTAAGTTGTTATTATCATTAAGTTATTATTCTAATTCTACAAGTTCCATGTAGAATTCTGGTTCATGCAGCAATTTTTTTAAATAGTTTGCAGATACATTGTGCACAATAACCTTTGTTTTCGGCAGGTGGTTTGGCAGCCGTGATCTACACTGATGCACTTCAGACTGTGGTCATGGTGGGGGGGGCCTTTGCATTAATGTTCATAGGTAGGGATTGAAACCACACACACACACACACACGGCCAACAATTACTTGATAACAATGCTTATTATAACATTCATCCAAGGAAGCCCAAACATGAATTGATCCCTGATCTGTTTTTTCAGCTTTCTCCAGGGTTGACTGGTATGAAGGCCTTGTTGACCGTTATATGTCAGCTGTTCCCTCAGTGATAGTTGCTAACACCACCTGCCACCAACCTCGTAGTGATGCGTTCCGCTTGTTCAGAGACCCCATTTCAGGTGATTTACCATGGCCAGGTCTGGTTTTTGGGCTAACTGTACTGGCTACCTGGGTCTGGTGCACAGATCAGGTAACATTACCTTTTGTTCCCATTTTGAGTGTTTGTTTGTTTGTGTGAGTGAGTCTTGTGTGGGAGGGGGGATTAAAGACACAAACAAGGCAAATATTAGCATTTCTTTTTCCAGCTGTTTCATGTCCAAGTAACAGGCGTTTATTCTGATTTATGGTTGATTGAGAGCCAGGACGACATAGGCAATTTTTGCAGTGACTCCCAATTTTATAGCTATTAGTTCATCTGCATAAACAACCGCAAGTCCCCCAAAACGTGTGCTCACTCTCTCCTTGGCTCGTGGCTTCAAACCAACTTTCTCAAACTTAACTTCGACAAATCAGAAGTCGTCATCATTGACCCAAATCCCTCATGAAATTCACCCATAACTTCTCATTCTCCATCAATGGCTTCACCGTGCAGCTGTGTGGCTCAGTTGGTAGAGTCATCATCTCTTAACTGGAAGGTCAAGGGTTCAATCCCCAGGCAGGACACTTAATCCTGAATTGCTCCCGCTGCTTCATCAAATGTGTATGACTCAGTCTCACTACATAGCAACCACTGTCATCAGTATGTGGATGGGTGTAAAGGTCCTGACACACCAAGTAGATAATCAGCTGTTTGTCCTAGTTGGACCTTGTCCAGTGGGACTTGAACCAATGACCCTGCATTTTATAACCAGTCCCTTCAGAGTGAGCCAGGGTAATGGCAACATCTCATTAAAATAAACACCCTTTCCTGACTACCAGCACATTCACATCATACAAATTCTGTAAATTCGAATTTATACAATTGAAATATAATTGTTTTTAGATTGTTTTTGTGTGTATGTTTGTGTGTTTGCAGGTTATAGTCCAGCGGTCTCTGTCAGCCAGGTCTTTGTCTCATGCAAAAGCAGGCAGTGTATTGGGTGGTTACCTGAAATTGCTGCCCATGTTCTTTGTCGTCATGCCGGGAATGATCAGCAGAGCACTGTTTCCAGGTCAGTCTGTCTGCCTCTGTTAGTTGGACTGTGATGTAATTTTCTGAAATATCTTTTCTGCGTTTCTTAAGCTTGCCTTTTCTTCTTCTTTATTTTCTTGTGTGTGAGATAAAGATAACCCTGTCTTGTGTCTTCACTTATCATTTCATTTTAAACTGGTTATCTTTGGTAAATGGTAAATGGACTTGAGCTTGCAAAGCGCTTTTCTAGTCTTCTGACTACTCAATTTTACACTGCAGGTCAAACCTTCCCATTCACACCCATTCACACACTGATGACAGAGACTGCTATGTAAAGTGTTTATATGTATAAATGATCAATTAATAACCACTCACACACCATCAGCAAGTAGCTGGAGCAACTTCAGGTTAGGTGTCCTGCCCAAGGACCACATCACATGTGCAGGAGTTGGCGATCAAACCCTCGACCTTCCAGTTGAGAGATGACCGACTCTACCACTCTAAGACTGCTGTCTTTGCTTTCAAATGACCTTTGTGTAAAATGTATGTAAATATATATTTTGTTGTCATGAATCATTCTAATATGAGCAAATGGTAAACCAGCCAAAATGATTCTACTACCTCGATACATTTCTCTCTCTGGGACTTTTTGTCATAATTATTAATTGATGGAGGCTGGTTTTTTTTTAGTCGCTACATCAAATATAAAACACACCAAATGTTTCAAAGGTTGAAGGTTGTCGTCTCATGGTTATTGATTAAAAATGGTTGCCAAATTCTTAAGATATTTTCCAAAATCTGAAAAACTATAGATTTTTTTATGTCACCAACAAGTAATGAAAACATTTAAATGTGTTTGAGGGTTGTCATGACATTGCAGTAATCATTCAACAAGGATGGTAGCCAGGTGAAGGCATCCTCATGCAAGAGGTCCTTCTGAGGTTGTTTTCAACTGCTCTGTTCAGGTGGCATAAAAACCACAACTGTGTCATTTGTGTGTCTCTATAGATGAGGTAGGTTGTGTGGATCCAGAAGTGTGTCTGAATGTTTGTGGTGCTTCAGTTGGTTGCTCCAACATTGCCTACCCTAAACTCGTGGTGGAGCTAATGCCTGTGGGTGAGTCTCATACACAAACACACACACACAAACACACACACACACACACACACACACACACACCTTTTGTTTTTTTGGCATGGTTTTAACTGGATCAGCTGTCCTGAGGTAGATTGAACTTCTTGCACAGCTTCAGGTTTGTCTGACCACACCTGAGAGCCAGCTGTTCCATCTCCTGTTTGTCGGCACACTGCACATGGTCCAGTAAAGCTAGTACATTGGCAGGGGAAGTGAGCTGTCTGCTTTGTATTAGCTTAAAATTAAATAAATTGACTCATGACAGACTCAATGAAATAAAGGGTGGTGTTTCGCTGAAATATGATCTGCTAAAATCCTTATATTACAGGTCCATCTTGTTAGCCAAAAGTGAACAAACAGTCCCGTAGAGAGCTGCTGCCCTGCTGACACTAACTGTACAACTTTCAAGAGGACAAGGGTGAAAAAGCTTCATCAGAGTAAACAGTCTGGTGGTTCAAAGTTACGTCTTGGGAAATGTGAACAGAAAAGAGGAGCATGGTATCCAAGGCTGAGGGCCTTCCTTAGCCTTGGATTAGCTAGCATCTCTACTTCTGTCTCCACTCTCTCCTTTGTCTTCAGTTCCTCAGTATGTTAATCCCCTGAGCCTTGTTGTCCTTGTTAGCTCTGCAGGTATGTGATGGGAGTGCTAGAAGGCAAGAGGATGGTGCATTTTTCCACTGTGTAGAATACTTTCCAGAAAGGAAAGTTGAATGCACGGACTTTCAGGAAAAAATAAACAAATATACAAATAGAAAGGAGTAGCTAGTTCTCTGGCCAAGACAGGCTGATTCAGAGGTTTATGGGGCCCAAATCTTTTGAGCTGCTAACATTTTTCCTTGTTACACAGACTAGAAAAGTGCTCCGACGTGAACTTTTGCAACACTCATTTATTTTTGATACTTCTGTCTGCACAGGTCTTCGTGGTTTGATGCTAGCAGTAATGTTAGCAGCTCTGATGTCTTCACTGACTTCAATCTTTAACAGCAGCTCAACTCTGTTTACACTGGATCTATACCATAAAGCCAGGCCCAATGCTTCAGAGAGAGAACTCATGATTGTTGGAAGGTAGGGGTGTTGACTGATCTGTATGTTTCTTTATTGTCTTCTGTTGAGTGGAGCTTTGTATGAGTGATCAATGTCATGGCGCAGTGTCCCTTGATAAATACAATATATGAAGAAAAACGAGTGTAAAGAATCTGCAGAGTACAGCTCCTGCTGCCACAGAGCAATCGCTGTCTCAAAGGTAGGAGGAACACAACACCGGTCCCACTTTTTACCACTTTAATCCTCTCCAGTTTAAGCTCTTATTTTACAATCCTTTTTTCTTTGTACATAAAAAAAATTCAATTGTGTTTGTTAAGTTTGTTATAGTTTGGAGAACAAAACGCTACACAATAACTTTTAATGGCATTGCGACCAGTGTTTTCTAATCTACCTCCAAAAAAGGGCTTGTTTTCACCGAAATAGGGGCTTGGTCACTTTGATGAGCAGGAAGTTTAACTGATCTCATCGATTAAGCTAAGTGGCATTGCGAAAGCACTGGCGTCGACCTGGGACTGAGGGGGAACATTAGACAGCCTGCTACACAATAATAACACTTTTCCTCTCAGAGTGAGGCACTCTTAAAAAAAGATTTTTCAAGTTTTATGGTTTTTAAACAAACTCTGATTAAAGCCCGTGTTAACGACTATTGTTCCCTTATTTGCCATTTGTAATGAATCCAGTAGATATTCAACAAAACCATTTTTTTTTTACCTCAACCAAAGCTAACATATTTTTGTGTTCTTATCAGGGTATTCATCCTGGTTTTGGTGTGTGTTAGTCTGTTGTGGATTCCAGTCATCCAAACAGCAAATAGTGGACAGCTCTTTGATTACATCCAATCAGTGACCAGTTTTCTAGCTCCGCCGATTACAGCAGTATTCCTAATGGCTATCTTCTGGCCACGTGCAAACGAGCAGGTAGGTATCAAACACACACAAACACAAAACCTCTTACATTGCTTTAACCTAAATAATGAAAGTACATTGTTTGATGAAAATACATTTTGGACCTATTAAGGTTTTTTACTCCCATAAGAAATAACATCTGAAGCTGTCACTTATTTTTCATTCATTGTGTAGTATATTGACAAATTCAAGGAGGTCCAAGGTAAAAAAAGAGCCTTAGATATCTACTCTCTACTGTAGGTGAATATTATGGCTCAGCGTTGGATTTCATTCCATTTGACAATTTTTTTTCCTCGTAGATTTTTTGGGGGGCTTTTATGCCTTTATTGTAGAGGACAGCGGATAGATTGGGAAATGGACATGATATAACTTCTCCCCTAGCCAAAGCCCACTATTTGACAATCTTACAACTCTTCACTTTTTGATGATAAAAACACTTATGATCATACGCCAAGGGGCGCAGTAACATTGCAACTGTGAGTGTCTCCTCTTCCATAACGTTGTCGTCACAGTAAATATTTTACATTGTTGAAGAGAACAGAAGCATCAAGAAAAAGGAGTTAAGTGTCTATTTGGTAGCTCCATAATTCTGAAGTATTCTTTGGTGTATTTATATTTGATGGAAGCCAGAAGATTATACTCAAATCAATATTTAAAAAGGTTGAATTTACTGAATGTACTTTATATTGATATTGGGAATCGCTATGGCCACAAGTTAAAAAAGCACTATTCAATACAGTGTTGGCTTTTTGCCAGTTGTATCTCTCTGCAGTACTTGGGTTTGACTGTGGGCATGTGTGTGTCTCAGGGTGCATTCTGGGGCCTGATGACCGGACTAGTGGTGGGATTAATTCGTATGGTTCTGGAGTTCTCTTACGAAAGTCCCTCCTGTGGACAGAGGGATCATCGTCCTGCCATCCTGGCTGATGTCCACTACCTGTACTTTGCGCTCATCCTGTTAGCTGTCACATGCCTTACCATTGTTGCTGTCAGCTTGGCTACTGCCCCAATACCTGAAGAGCATGTAAGTCATACATTTAATAATCTTCTCATCTATAAAATTAGAAACACAAGTGAAATAAGAATCGACAAAAAAACACTGAAATTAGCAAATCATATTTTTGGGAGTTCAAAAACTCTAGCCAGAGGTGGGCACAGTTAATAAAAACGTTTACTCTGTTAAGAAAGACGTTTACTTTGATATCAGATTATTCCATTAATATTTAACATTAGTTAAACGTAACATTAACCAATTTTATCAATAATCAATAAAAACAGCTTTTTTCAATATTAACAGATTAGAGTTCTTAAGAGGCCATGATGACTCAGAAAACTCTTAGTCAGAGGCGCTGCTTGTCAACAGGCAAGGCAGGCAACTGCTTGGGGCCCCAGACCAGTAGGGGGCCCTTAAGCAACTGCCGAAAATGTGAAAATTTTGCAGTGACGGTAGGAAACCTCTCCAAGAGGACCCCATTTGACAGCACTCACTTTCTTTTCCACTGGTTGGAGAGCGCGAGCTGGAGGGCCCCCAAATTGTTTTTTACCTAGGGCCCAAACAGACTCTAGATTCTAGAGTCTGTTTGGGCCCTAGAGTCTAGAATCTCCACGGCTCTTAGTTATAGGTGTACGAGTTCAAAATTTATAGAAATAGAAACTTTTTTCATGTAGCATCAACAGCGGACTATAGGTGTGTAAAACTATTATCAGCGTCACTCAAACAACTGCCGTGTTGAACTCATGCTGTACATCGCTAGAAAGCTCTGACTCTGACCATGCAAACCATTTCAAGAACACGGACATGTTGCTGCAGGAGCTGGGGATCGAACCCCCAGTTGAGAGATGACTGACTACCAACTGAACAACAGCCTCAAAAGTGAATTAAAATAACAAAAATAACGTCAACAGAAATAAATTTAACGGAAGTGAGTTGCTCCATTAATAATTTTTTAAATGAAAGTCCACATTAAAAAATAATTTTAAAAATGAACATTATGTGCCCAGCTCTGACTCAACCACACACGTGCCAACACTAAAGCATCAGATAGCTGGGCTTCTCCTAATATGCAAAGGACGAGTAGAACCTTGGCTTTATGTATAAAAGATCTGCACACGAGGCAGACTGTCATGTGTCTTAACTGCAGTGGAATGGAAATGTGATCTTCATGCACTACATAGATCAGTTTGAAGATAAGACCTTTAAAACAACAACAACAACAACACTACTGACATATTTGCTGGGAATCTCTTGTTTTCTCTAGCTTTACAGGCTGACTTGGTGGTCCAGATACAACCAGGAACCACGTATTGACCTCACAGCTCAGGTCCCAATAACCTCCGATGCTACGAACTCTGACTCTAACCATTTGCCAAATGAGTCATGGTGGAAGAGAGCAGCACTGTGGATCTGTTGTCTGACCAAAAGAGGCTCTGGCTCTGTATCTGTAGAGACTGAAAACAGTGAACTGAACTCCCTACAGGAGGAGCCCCTGTGGCGTAGTGTCTGCAATGTTAATGCTTTATTACTACTGGCAGTTAATGTGTTCCTCTGGGGATACTGGGCTTAATCTTCTAAAACTTTCATTTGTATGAGTAAGGTTAAACTTGTGTCCTGGGCTGGTATTAGCAGCCATTAGTGATACTACTGAGCTGCTTTTTCTGTTCTGTATCATCAATCAATCTTTATTTGTAGAGCGTCAATTCAAATCAAACATTAGCTCAAGCCTCTTCACAAAGAGCAGGTATAGACCGTACTCAGTGCTATGTTACAAAGACCCAACGGTATTCCATTATCAGCACTTTGAAACATTTAGCAAAAGTTACAGTGGCATTAAAAAACGTCTTTTTACAAGAGAGAAATCATGGGCAAATCCAGGCTCATGATGAACAGCCATCTACCGAAACAAGGCTCAAAGGACAACATAAAACATAAAAGCACATGTATGGGTCTGGTAGAAACTTAAAAACAACACATAGAAGATATTTAAAAGGTAATACAAAACCAACTAGATATCAGACATCACCTAAAAATTTATTTATTTGCAAAAAACATGCAAATAAATAAATAAATAATACAAAATCAGCAAAATAATAATTCCTAATTTCTTTAGTATTTGTACAATTTGAATGTCAAAATGAGTTAAAATCTGCAGTTAGAGAAAAAGTGATCATCTAACATATTGTCTTTGAAGCTTTAAATTTTGTAACCTTTGCTCAACTGATAAAGAGTATTAGTTATTTTCAGGTTATGTTATGTTTCCAACTTGAACATTTATTGTATTATGTCATTATGCACATTGATTAATTTATTGAAATTATTCACTCAATAGATTTATTTGTTTAGCGTTATTATCTCAAGACCCTTTATAAAAAGCAGGTAAAAGACCTTACTCTTTCTTTTCTTAGAAAATAAAAAGGGGATAGGAGTATAAAAGCAGGAAGAAGGATAAGGACTAACAGAGGGAAGGGTATAGCAGCAGGTGGTCCCCGCCAACAATCACAAGGAACCAACAAGACATGAGAGCTCAGGAGCTCCCAGGAAAAAATCAGGTTCACACAAAACTCAACTATGACTTTATTTTAAATGTGTTTGTTTGTGATCCTAAAAGTATTCTTTTTTACTATTAAAATGTGTTGCTTCGCTATAATGTAAGAAGAATATATAGTACAGAAACAGTATATCTTCTGGTCACAATCTGCCAAACCAGAGTTCATGATTTGTATATGCGGAATAGTTGTAGAATCTGTTAGTTTAATAACATCGACGTGGCCAAACAGACGGGATCTGTTGTGTAATGAGGCCACAGATTGCTATAATCATGTAAAACAGGAGAAATAAACGTATCTTGCAGGACTTTATTGAATAAACACGTTATGACTGTGAGTCATATGTGTAGTGTGTTTGTTGTTATTAGATCTGCCACCTTTCTCGTTTGTGCGTCTGTCTGTCTTTGTGCTGGACGGAAGCTGGTGTTGTGTGCTGTAGGGCGCCAGTTTTAAAGGGCGCTGCAGAAGCTGGAACATTGGCCCGCCTTCTCCCTCACCTCCAAAGAGAGATCTGGATTTCGTTGTGCAGTCCTGGTTAGGTTGTAGGGGAGCGTAGCTGTTTTATTTGGATTCAAATTGTCTGCTGTTAGGGAGTAAGGCAAGATGTCTGCATTTTCTTTTCTTTATTTTAGAGGTAAGGTAGTTTCTGTTTTTGACTAAGATGTTGTGTTGTATTATTTTTGCTTGTGCTCTCCCTAAAGTTTGATTACTTTTGTGTTTAGTGTTAATAAATAACATTGTGAACTTAAAATGTGTTCGATGGTGGCTCAATCATTGGGTGTGAGAAAGGAGAGGGTCACTTTTATGCTACGGCTGGTTTTCCCCTTGGCTTGTCGTAACACACACATGTCAAAAAGCTTTCATTTTTTCTGCAGGGATTTTTTTCTTCTTTAATTTATTTTGGTTTCTTTGAATACTTTCACAATAATGTAACATATTCCATAAAAAAAATTAAATACAAAATACTACAGATCCATGCAGGGTGGAAAAATCCTGGACTAAAAATCTTGAGTCACTCATGCTGATATCCCATCACACCTTTTAATGAAATTAAGGTCACAATTTCAAAGCACTGCACTGAAAAGACTCTGCCTGGGTACAAGTGTGTCAAACAGGAAGTATAGACCAGCAGCCGTTGCAATGAGAGGGGGCTCGCTGACTGGTTGGTCAGAGTCGACAAAGGGTCAATTACAATTGAGATTGTGTTAAATACCTAACTAGCTATCCTGCTTATGCAAATATCCGTAAGCATATGTTTACCTGCTGTGGGGCAGGAGACATTTCCATTGTAACAGCTCGCTCCACCAATCAGAGAACTGTGACACTATAGTCTTGGGTAGTGTATGTTATTTGAGCTCTAATAATAGATGTTTTTCTTAAATGAGTTCCATATTAAACAAACTTGCATCTTCTATTGTTTCCCACTATTGTTCTTGGACCTGCCTGTTTTTACATCTGTTTTTGCTGTCCTTGTTCAGGAAATTAATTTCCCCATTCAAATCCTCAATTGACTATCCCACCTTTGTAACCCCAAGTTACAAATCCCACTTTGTAACTTGTTTTAGAAAAGTGCTCTATAAATATAAAATAAATAATGATCAATGATCAATGATCATTATCTATAAATAATGGTTATCATCATTATTTAATAAAAAATCTAAAATGTAAATTTCGTGGTGGCAGCAGGCGCAGTCAGTCAACCCAGATTTCCCTCTCCTCCAGCGTATTCTGGGTCTGCCCCGTGGTCTCCTCCCAGTCGGGTGTGCCCGGAAAACCTCTAAAGGGAGGCATGCCATGAGGCATCCTTAACAGATGCCCAAACCACCTCAACTGGCTCCTTTCGATGCGAAGGAGCAGCAGCTCTACCCCGAGCTCCTCACCCTATCTCTGAGGCTGAGTGTATCGAGCTTATTCTTTCGGTCACTACCCATAGCTCATGACCATAGGTGAGGGTTGGAATGAAGATCGATTGGTAAATTGAGAGCTTTGCCTTCAGGCTCAGCTCCCGATGCCTGCTGGAGGTCCCAGCATGAGGAAGCCAACAAAACCACATCATCTGCAAATGCAGAGATGAGAAACCCCCCTGGCTGCTCCTTGAGATCCTGTCCATGAAAATCATAAACCGGACCGATGACAAGGGGCAGCCCTGGAGGAGGCCATCACGCAGCGGGAACGTGTATGACTTTGTGCCGAGGATGTGGACACAGCTCCCACTTCAGTCATACAGGTACCGGATGGCTCGTAGCAACGGCCCCGGGACCCCATTTAGAAGACACAGCCATTCAAGTGTAGCCGATATTAGCAGCCACGTTTTACAACCTCTCTTCCTGCAGGACTCAGGACTGTGGATTAACATCTGGGTTACTTTTTTACTAAAAAACAATGGAACTGATCAATGATTTAAGTCTCCCTCTCAGACAGGCTCTGGAGGACAGGATATTATAAACTTTTACAACGCCTGGAGTAAACAACCAAGCGGAAACAGAACACTCTGCTATCTACGAAATTGACCCCAAAGACATGAACTATGACCGAAACCAATCTCTGTCAAGTCGTAAAATTGACCATCTATGGAAATGCTGCTGATAAGCTGAATTACACCACAGCGTTCAATTCTGCATCAAATTAACATTTATGTCTTTCTTCATCTAGATATTTGTAATTGTCACATTGAATGTATTATAATCATCTTTTTAAACTCAAAATCTGATCTTCAGAATAGGAATAAGGGTTATATTAGTCTTAATAGGAATTTGACGTGGAGCGCTATTGCCATCTAGTGTTAGAATAGCCATGAATACGTAACCTTCATAATTATTCATTTAGACGTGTTATAAAGCATACTCTTTAATATTAGATATAGAAGGTGGTATTTAAAGACACCAATTTCTTTTCCTACTTTATTAATATGTCTTATTAAGAATGTTGACTGTATAACATGGTTTTGTTCACCTACAGATTAACTGAGGATGTTCCAAGGTGGTGTGATTTTCATCTCAACATGAATCTGATAGAAATGCATGTCTAAATATATGACGTGAACCTACATCAACGTGGATCTGATAGAAATAATATCGAAATTAATGTATGGTGACGTATATATGTTTAGATTCTTATTCTTTATCTTATTGAGTAAAACTCGTTTTAATTTAAACAATTGTCCTCCGGTCAGAGTGGGAGTGACCCTTCTCCTGCAGGCCCACCTCCTCTCCTCTAGTTAGTAAAAGTTCAAGACTCAGCTCAGATCTCCAGTTGTTTTTCAGTTTTTTGGTTTGTTGAAATTTAGAGCTTCAGCTCTTGCTCGCTTCTCTTCGGACTTCAGTCCGAACCACTTCTTTTAAGTTTGTGCCATAGAGACGACTATGCCAAACTTTATTTTCAACGCACAATTTTTGGAAACATCAATTCTTTCTGGCTTAAGCAAGGCTTTTGAACTTTCTTCTCCAAAGTCTTTGCTCTTCAATTTTCTTTTTTTTTATTATTATTTTTATTAACATTTTTATGACATCACAATACAAACAGGAGTGAAAACCCACAACCCAATCCACTTAAACCCCCCAACCCCCACCCCAGAACACACAAACAAACAAACACACACACACTCACAACCAGAGAGGAGGTACACATATTACAAATAGTTCATCTAAACCCTGTGCCAAGGACACAAACAGCATTCATATCATTATACATCATCAATGTGTTAGTGCTACATCCAAGCTGTCCGCAATAGAAATGTCCATAAATAAAACAAGAAAAAAAAGATAGATCCATACAGGTACAAATGTTGTCAGGGTAAGTCCAAATGTTGCAAGAAGGGACCCCAAGATTCTTCCCATTTATGTTTACATTTTGACTCATTAGCTCGCAATTTCTCCATGTGTATCACTGAGACCAGTTCATGCAACCAGTTTCTGAGGCATGGTGGAGTTGGTGTCTTCCAGTCTCTCAAAATATTTTTTTTTCCTACTACCATGCCCATCAAAGAGCAGTTTGGATATATGAAGGGAGCAATACAGAGTCCTCTGAAGCTCCAAAGAGAGCCAAGTTTCTGTCAGGAGAGAGACCTGTGATAAACCCCAGAAAAAAGAAAAAAGATTCTAGACCAGAACTGATAGATTAATGGACAATCCCTAAATAAATGCAGTGAAGTACCATCTTTGAGTTACATTTATCACATATTGGAGACACAGAGGGGTAAATCTTATGAAGCATGACTTTAGAATAATGAAAATGGTGAATGACTTTGAACTGAATTAACCTGTGTCTACTATTAATTGAAAAACTATGAATACGGGATAGTGCAGTTCTCCATAGTTTATCAGGCAATGCAGCATTCATTTATCTTTCCCAAGCATTATTAATACACTTAGCAGATACTGAATCCTCAGAAAAATAATTAACAAATTTAGTGATAAGCTTCTTACTCACTGGTGAAAGAGAAAGCAATTCTAACAGAGGATGTCTCTCACAGGTTGATTCAAAATTAGGGATGTTTTCTCTTACAAAGTGCCTAAGTTGCATATAATGAAAGAAATGTGAAGGAGGTAGATTATACTCTAAACTTAGTTGCCCAAAAGATGCAAACTTGTTGTCCAAATAAAAATCTCCTGTACACTTTAATCCTTTTTCACACCACAAAGCAAAAGTATTATCCAGCAATGCTGGGGCGAAGGCATGGTTATGGCAGACTGGTGTGTGTGTTGAAATTATAGGGATTTTGAAACTTTTTTTAATTTGGCTAAGAATTTTCAAGGAGTTTCTGACAACAAGACTATGGTTTAACTAACTGGTTTAGTCTTAGATGAAAGGTTGGTGTAGAGTAAGGAGGATATTGACACATACAGTATGGTTGTATCAGAGATGAAAATTCTAATTTTAACCAGAGGGGGGTAGAGTTTAGTGATTCATGGTCTGGAGAAACCCATTGTTAGAATGCCATTGCCCTAGCATTGGCAGCCCAATAGTAATCTTTAAATACCTGAAGACCCAAACCCCCATCCTGGGTTGACCTGAATAAATGTTTTTTTGAAAGTCTGTGTTTTTTATAACCCCAAACAAAGTCTAAAACGGTTGTCTCTATCTTCTTGAAAAAGTCAGCTGAGATCCAAATAGGCAGATTTTGAAAAAGATGAGAATTTTGGTAAGGATACCATCTTAATGGCATTAACTCTGCCAATCATAGATAGCGGAAAGGTCCTTCAGTATTCTATGCTGCGTTTTAGCCTATCAAGACCCGCTAACAGATTTAATTTGAACAAACGCTTAGGGTTTTTTTTATATTTTAATGCCCAAATATGTGATGTGATCATGAGCAATCTTGAAAGGACAATCATGTAGAAATGTATTCTCCCCAATAAGCATAAGTTCACTTTTGTCCCAATTTATTGTGTAGCTATTAAGGTAACAAGTAAATCATCCGCGTAAAGTGTAATCAAGACATTCAGATGTACCAGCTGAAATTCCCTTTATGTGCGGATGATTTCTTATCCCAATTGCCAAAGGCTCTAACGCAATATTAAATAATAAGGGGGACAGACAATCTCCCTGTCTCACACCCTGGTGTCGACTAAAAGACTCTGATAATGTATTATTTGTTAACACTGAGGATTTAGGGGAATGATATATCATTTTAATCAAGTCCACAAAGATAGTTCCAAGTCCGAACCTTTTCAAGGTTTCAAATAAGAAAGACCATTCGATAGAGTCAAACGCTTTCTGGGCATCCAGTGTTATGACAGCAGTTTTAGTATCTTTACCTAAGTCAGAATACAAAACATCTAACACCCGACACACATTAAAAAAAGAAAGCCTGCCTGGGATGAAGCCCATTTGGTCTGGATGAATAATTGTTGCTATAAATGTATTTAATCTGGTGGCTAATACTTTTGTTAATATTTTGTGATCTGAATTTAGAAGAGAGATGGGTCAGTAATTGGCAGGATCAATGGGATCTTTCCCGCTTTTCAGTAACAAACATATGTTTGCCTCATATAAAGATGGTGATAGCGTTTTTTTTGCAATTGAATCATGTATCATCCTAAGTAAGTAAGGTGCTAAAATCTCCTGGAATGCTTGATAGAACTCAGAACCAAATCCATCTGGTCCAGGGCATTTTCCTTTAGGGAATGTCTTAATTGCGTACTCTAACTCAGCAACAGAGAACATTCTTTCCAAAAATTGTTGGTTTTTCTCATTTAGCTGTGGCAGAGTCAAAGAATTAAAGAACTGAGAATAATCTGTCTCTGTTGCTGTGGAAGTAGAGGAATAGAGTTTGGAATAAAATGAGGTAAATGTGGATATGATTTAGGCTTGCTAATGTATGAATAATGCTCTGATTACAGCTGGGATATTCCATTTAATAAAAAGTGGTTTTACTTTTTCTCATTACATAAAGTGCAGAAGTGGAGACAT